ACGACAACGACGACAACGACGACAACGACGACAACGACGACAACGACGACAACGACGACAACGACGACAACGACGACAACGACGACAACGACGACAACGGAGGAACACCGTCGTCATCAAGCGGCAACCGAGTCCTGGCACGCAGTTCGGCTTTGCAGCTTCTTTTTTCAATCTTAGACGCCCAGCCGGGAGTCGATGAGGAAGAGGACTTAAAGATGTTCCATGCAGTCATAAAAGTGGTGTCACATCTACACACCTTCAACTACCACACCAGACGTGTGATCCGTCTTGCGTACGATGAGACGTTTTCACCGACGCTTGAGCAACGAGCAAGACTTGACCAGTGGGAGAATTAGTTGGAAATGATGTGTATCGAGGCCCCTCAATATCAAAGCTACACACCCTGCATCACATCTCTCGTTGTGATTGATATAGATTCATAATATCTTGCTATTGATGTCATCGTCTTGACATCTCAACAGATTACAGTCGTAAAGGAGAGGGCGAGAGTTCCATAACGCTGATTGAACCCTCCTACAAACTCGTTCCCCCGTTCCTAATCTCCTTCATTCGTGCAAACAAAATGTCATACCACGCCAGTTCGGGCGCCAAAAAATGTTCCAGACACGCCTGGGCCACCGATATGGGAAATCCGATAAAGTCACATCCGGAGATGCCCATGTCTGGGTGAAGAAAGTATTCAGCTGACTGAACGATGAGAAGTGCTTGGGGAGGGATCGGTCGTGTGAATGGGGCGGGCAAGGGACTGTCCCGCCTCCCATCGGTCTTTGGGGACGCATCCCAGGGAAGTGAGGCATCGAATCCTGCCTCGAGAAGTCGACGCTTGGCCAGCCACAGATTGCTGTGAACAAGTAGTGATCCTGTCCAGAACATGACTACTTGCTGCGCAATCTCGGCATCGGGAAAACAGAAAAAGTACCCGAATGCTAGATCCCTGATCGGACTGAATGTAGGTAGTCGAGAGTACACCGTTGAGCGCTCCGGCCAATACAGCTGACCTTGGTGATGGTGTTGGTTTTCCGATTCCAGGCTAACTAGCCAGTCCTCGAGCTCACATCTCAATTGGTGTGAGTCCTCGACCAGGCGTGCGAGGAGAGTTGTGTAATGGGCTTGCATCGCCTCCGTCACGCCCTCGCCTTGACCAGGGTACATTCGGTCAGTGAGCTCCATCAGGCCTGGGAGACGTTGTAGAATCTCAAAAAGTCGAATGTGAGTGGATGCTCGCTTCTTGTTGTGAATTGATGGCCATGGTGTATCGTCGATAATGGCTCTGCGGGCTCCGATTGCGGATATAAACTGGATACATATCAGTATTAGTCTGAGGGGGCCAAAGCTCGATTGTGTGAGGTTTTAGACAGCAGGCTTACTCACCTGGGCAGACCTTGAGCCTAGAAACAGCTTCTCGCTCAAAGGGTTGGAGAAGTTTCGCTTCCCGCGTAGCTTGATCAATGCCTGTGCGCCTCGAACATGAGAAAACCATCCATCTGCCTGTGTAGTAATGCCCTCCTGCGTCTCACCACGGAAATCCTGCCAGCCGATGAAGTATGGTTTCTCGAGGTTGCCGGCCTCGTACATCGTCAAGACCATTACAGCAGCGAGTGTTTGATCGTCGAGACGATGATCGATGTTCACAAGAGCTTTATTGATTCTTTGAATTGTTTTCACATAGAGCAGCCGGCCTTCCTGCAGAAAGCCTGGTCGGTGTTGGGACTGTGCAATGTGATTCAGAGTAAGTGCGGCTAGAGCATCGCCGAGTAGCGTACCCGTGGTCGGGGAACAAGCGGCTACATTCAGCCAAGTTGTCGCTGGTAATACAGCAAGGTCTGTCTCCAGGTGCAGCCATGTGCCAGACTCATGTGGCAAGTATTGCTCGAAGAATACTTCATATACTTGGTCTCGAAATGCGCTTTTCTGGAGAGAATGTGGTAGAACCTGTAGATGATATATCACTTCGGTCTCCCGGCTGGTGCTCCTCGGCCGGGGTGATTTGTTCGCTCTGCTGGTCAGGACACCCCGATTTTTAGCCCCAGGATCTTCAAAGCGTATGTTGAGCTCGGTAGAATATCCTTGACACTGGACGCCTCTTCGCAGGCATTGGCTACATGAGGGTCGTTTTTCGTCGCACTGTACATTGGTCTTAGTACATTTGACCACCAAAATTCCGCCATTGTCGTTAAACTTACTCCTTTGCGTCTAGCCTTGCAGTTGGCGCATGCCTTGGATCGAGGAACTCCAACCATCTCGTGTGCAACAGTGGTAAGTAGTCAGAGCCTGGCCACGACACTTCCGGATTCGTGCCATACCGCGACTATTTGCAGAGTCAAGGACACCACGATGGTGGAGAGTAACTGGGGAGCAATCCAAAGTTTGATAACAAGAGTTGTCGATCTTGTCCGAAATAGGTTCCATTCTTCGACAGTTGTGATTCGTGGTTTGTACCAACTACCCATGGGGTGGATCCTGCGATTGAATCAGTGATTGGCTGATTGAACTGCAACTAGGCTAACATCCAGTCATGACGACAAATGTACTCCCCTTGACTGGACTTGGTGGGAGTCTCCATGGTCGATGCTGCATCGAAGATTGCCGATTCCAACGTCTTCGCCTCACGTGCGATTGTATCTGACTTACATCACCACGAGTGTAAGGTCGAGATCTGCGTTTCCTACACCCCAGGCTTGAGATAACTTATTCATGAAGATGGGTCTTGCTCGTCAGCGATGGCGCGTTACCGCTTTTGGTTGTATCCAGCGCCGCAAGAATTGTTGCCTCGTCGGCCAGGTCTGAGAGGCAGTTGGAAAGGCATAAAAGCGAGCGATGCTTGCTCAAAATCCGACAATGCTTCGACCGTATGAGCAGCATTTCCTCATAACCTCATAAACAACTTGGAAACATGTCGAGCCCCACCACAATTCATAAAGAACCTGAACAAGGCTCTGTCCACTCTACCAGCTCCATCAAAAAGTCCTCTTCACAAACCGAACACCAGGGACGATTTCGAAAATTGTTTTCGTGGCTCGGATTCCAGAAAAACTACAATGTGCCATTGTGTAGGTGTAATGTGGCCACGATGATCGAAGGTCTGCTAACAAGTCATAAGTCATCATATTTGCTGGAGCGATGTTGGGATTCAGTCTGGCGAGGCTAGAATATCTTGACATAGGTGGCCGTTTCCGCAAAGGTTCAGCACCAGGAGAGTGGTATTGGTACCGAGGAGGTATTGGTCGCATTGGCATCACACTTCACCTTGCTGGCGTACTCCCTGCCGGTATTCTCATGATCTGGCAGTTTGTGCCTGCGATCCGACGGCGCTGGATCGCCTTCCACAGAATCAATGGCTATGTTGTGATCATGTTGTTGCTCCTGGGCAATGTCGGGGCTTTCATGATCATGCGTCATGCCTTTGGTGGCGATTTGTCTACCCAGGCGGCATCAGGATTTTTGGGAATATATACCACCGTTGGGATGGGACTGGCATATTACAACATCAAGGTGCTTCAAGTCGATCAACATCGAGCGTGGATGCTCAGAACAATGATCATGTTCGGCGTCATCATCACCACTAGAATCATAGCCATCATCACGGCGCAGATTACCACGGTGATCGGGTCTTACCATGTCATCATGAATTGCGGCGAGCTTGCTGTCATGAACGACTTTTCCTACCTATCGACCAACTATCCTCAATGTCTAGCAAATTCCACGATTGTGGAGGGAGTTCTCAATGTTGTCAAGGCCAAGTTTGGCGAGAATGTGGAAACGACTGGCGCGTCTTTACGGATTGGGTTTGGAATGGCATTGTGGTTGTCAATTGCGCTACATGGCATTGGAGCGGAGGTTTACCTCGCCCTCACCCCCCGAGAAGCGCATAGACTTAGGATGACGTCGTATGAGAAACAACTGGAGGCGGGAATGGCAAACCCAGGATCGGCTGGCCTGGTGGTTGAGAAATTTGGGGATGCCCAAGCCTGGATTCCACGTTGAAGGCGAATGAGGAAAGTAAACTGAGCATGTATCTTCTATGTCGACGTGAACATTTCATTTACACATGTGACAAAGATCCACACGTGACGGTTCAACACACGTGACTGGCTTCTGCCTGGCACGTGCCTGCAGATCTGCGGGGGAAGCCGGACCCTGAATCCGATTCTGTGTGGCAAACACAACATACAAGATACGTCGTCTGCGCCTCCAAGGTCATCATCGACCTCTATTCAGTCCCTTCTGTCCTCATCTCCATTTTCTAGATTTCTTTTCCATCTGCCTGGTGGGTAAACATCATGGCAAGCTCCGGAGGTCACCTCCTCGTCCCCAAGGCGTTGAGGTTGATCAGATTCGCCGTCGAGAAGGCTGGCAGGGTCATCCGTGACAAACTCCCAGAGGCTACTCGTACGATCGAGGTAGAGGCTCAACCAGCCTATGCTCGAGTCCAGAGACAACCTACCAGTCGTCTCACTCAAATCCGTCAAAGTCAAAGCCGTTATTACAGCACCAATCATGCATCCAAAGACACTGTTCGACATTACTCCTCTCGATCAGGCGCCAGTGGACCGATCTCCAGAACGTCCTTCCCTTCCTCCCGTACTGCAACGGCCGTTGGCAGATCCACCGGCCGGGTTCCCTTTGCATCTACCCTTCGACCAAGCCTGACTGGTGGCACGCTCTCCCGTTCCGCAGGCGGCTACGGTCTTGGAAGTGGCCGAGTGGGAGGTGCTCGATACTTCTCCCATGGACCAGCTGCTCCTGCACAAGTCGTCCAGAACGTGTCTCAAGCCGTACGGGCATTCTGGCTGTCTGGTCAAAAGGTTCGCTTTGATGGACACAATCAACGCACAGGCGAGAAGCGCTTCCGTGCTGTTTCTACCGCTCAAGAAGATGCAAGATACGCGATGGAATCTTGCCCCGCCGATGCTCTCGGCTCTTACATTGATTTCAAGGTCAATCCCACCATCACCGCTATTGGTCCTTTGGCTTCGGTCCCACGATCACCCTCTCCAGTCACCTGTGACTATGAGGCGGAAAAGGAGACTCTCAATAACCCCACGGTCATGTCCAACCTTGCCGTTGACTTTGCCCGTGCTCTCAAAGAACTGGCCGCCATCATGAACGATCTCAAGCACCTGGCAACTCTCGGAGATCTACCTCTTTCGCTACACAACAGTACCACGTTGCGGGTTCGCTTTCCCGGATGTGACGCGGACACTGTGGAGAGTCTCTGCCGTGAGCTGAACATCAAACGAGGGATTGTGGGACAAGACGAAGGCTTCGATGCCCATAACGGCACAGAAATGGCTCTCTTGTTCCCCTACGCATCAAGCAAGACACCGAGCGAACTTTGTCCCGAAGACGGTTATTATGGAAGACCCACGAAGCGAACCAAGCGTGATCGAGTCGAATGGCACGAGATGCTCACACCCCCTCGGCAACTCTCAGCGGGTTACTCTCACATTTCGGCAACCAGCAAATCTTCTCACCCATTCGAGATGATTGACGACGCCATGGGTCAGAACCCATGGATATCCTCTCCTTCTGGTTATTCGAGCCTTCATGAGAGTGAGCTTAATGGAGACGATAGCTATCAGGAAGATGCTGCCATGTACTTCTTTCAGCCACAGAGGGCATCATTATACGAACATGGGCCTTTGCCGGATGACGTGATTGAATATCAAGGTTTGGAAGGGGTGTATCGCTTTATCGAGGAATGCGATCGGGCACGGTCTTGAGTTTGTGCCTTTGGCTCGAATTCGACCTGTCTTGAATGACCAATGACGCCATGGTCGCGTGGAAAGCAGATGACACAGGAGGACAGGCACCTTCATTTCTGTCCCGAATGAATATCACACCAGTTATTGTTTCATTTGTCTTTTGATATTTTGCAGAAAGAGCATCATCAGCGAGCCTCAGAATGAATGACATCCACTTATCACAAATGCCATAATGATTCATGCCTAATATTGTGTTGCTCTCGTTGATCTCCTTCAGGCAAATCCTGTACATGAACTCTCTTGGGGTGATTTAGCGACCCGAGTCGTGTGAATTAGCATCATCGATGCTGGTTGTCCTCGCGGCAGTCTGCACTTTCGCTCGTAGGTCATGATTCTCCTTGAGAACCTCTTCGTTCTTGTGCTTGAGCTTCTCGATTTGTTTTTGTAGGGCAGTCATCTCCTCTTCTGCACCAGCGGAAATCTCCCCAACTATCTTGAAGACACGCCACAGGCGGAGGATGATCACCAAGGACCCCGCCTGTTCCATGGGATCAGTGATGGTGAGTTCAATGACGAAAGCGCCGATGACGACAATAGCATCAAAGGCGTGAAACCATGATAGAAAGTAGCTGATTGTCCGCGAATTAGCCAACGAATGATAAATATCTTGGAGAATTGGGAGCCGAAGAGCTACAACCTGAACTCACCGTGGTCCAAAAGCAATCAGACGAGCCAGTAACTCCGCCATAAACAACGAACAAAATGCTAAACTAAGATGGGCCAGGCCTTCGATGGCCTGGGTCCATGTCTCGACATCGAAGCCTTCATCGTATCTGTGCTCGCAGAGATGCAGTTCTAGCAGGAATGTTGCAAAGATGGAGCAAATGTCGAGGATCACGAGAACGAGGACAGAGTAGTGGCACCATTTACTGCTTAGAAATCGTTGTGAATAGCTCCGGACTTGCGCCAGCCGGTTGTTTTCATGTGCCTGGTGATTGATGAATGGGAATAGTCGTTGCCGCCATCTGGTGCCTGGCTTCGAAGGCGACTCGTGGGCGACAGGATCGGATTCAATATCCCCCATGGAGGTCACCACGACGCTGTTAATGGGAGTTCTCGAGATTCAGTTCCATGAGGAAGGCGCATGACTTAGTGTGCTATATAAGTGTTGTTTCAAATAATTTACATAATAGACAATGCATCTAGAATGACCACTTTCAACGAGGCCAAGGCAGCCAGTGGGATTATGGAATCTGAGCATGGGCCCATAACACGAATTGAGGAGACCAAGAACCCAACCATAGGTAAGACGCCTCATCTTTTGCCCGAAGTATCCGTGTCAGGGAGCTCTCCAACCGCCGTTGGTCTCGGCGCAATGTCCATTGTTCTCAGACTAGTCAAAACCATCTTGATTGCCACTCTTCCACCCATTAAATCAAAAGAAAACACAAGCTGCTGCTCGCTGTCGCTTGCTCTAAGCCATGGTTCGTGTGGCAGTCGCTGGTGGCACATCCCCGACATTGGGAAGGAGCATTGTAACTGCCATTCTTGAAAATGGCAGGCACGACGTGGTCATTCTTTCCAGGAAGGTGCCAGATCGAGAGGTAAGAGACACACCAAACTGCACAAATCTTCCTTTTCCTGTTCTCTTTTCTCTCCTCTTCCTCATTTCGGGCCTTCATCAGACCCAAAAGGCACTGCTTCATCCCAATGTTCCTGGACTGCTCCTCCGTCCTGCCCCTTGCCATTTCGATCCTCAAACCACCCTTAACTGCCTTCAGGCAGCCGAAGCAAGAAAGGCAGTCTCAGATGGTTGATACCTGGCACCGGTGACAACGAGGCGGGCACATCAAAGGCCGTACAATGGTTGATAACGAGGCCTGGATTATCCTCATTGTGGTTTTTACAGTCGCCATCATTCTTACCTTCATTTGGTGCTTGAATGGTTACACTTTTCGCTTCAGCAACCATTTCTCTGCTCAGCGATTTACTTCTCTTACTCCCCGACCCACGTCATCCGAGCTTCCGAGACAATCTGATGATTTCCGCCCACCATCCTCACCGTCTACAGCTGTGGCACCTACATCCACCGCCACTCCCTTCGCTCTCCAGCGTCCTCCTCCTGTCTAGTACGGCAGTCCTTGGTTCCTTTGACCTCAAGACGATGGATCCCCTGGATTTTCAGTTGGCGCCCCATGTTTGGCTACTCCATGTTGAAATTTTTTCTCTCAAACTGACAAAAGACTGCAGTCTGCTCCTACCGAAGCGTACGGTGCTCCAATTGCCTATGTCGATTACTCGTCCGGACCATCCCTCACTGCTGCTCTTCAAGGGTGCCAAATTGTCATTTCAGTGTTGAAGATTCTCGACCCTCAAGCGATGATCGACACCCATTTGGCACTCCTAGCAGCATGCGTCACAGCAAAAATATCCCGTTTCTCCCCATCCGACTGGTCACTGGGCCCTCTCTCCCACAGCCAGGTGGATCTACTAGAAAGCAGGAACCAGCTCTGGAAATCGTGCTCGGAATTGGCTGCTGAACATGGAATTTATTGTGCCGATTTCCAGAATGGAGCATTCATGAACTATTTTGCCCAAGGAAAGAAGTTTCCCAACGATAAAGAGGGTCAAGCCGAGGAAGCCTATGCTCTCGGGGGACTGAAAGATGGCATGATGCTCAAGTACATCAACCTACCCTCTCAGAAACTGATCATTCCACTTACGAGTGACGGGACACCTAGCCTGATAACAATGACCCTCCTGGACGACATTGGAAAGTTTGTTGCCGCAGCCATCGATTTACCCCCCGAACAATGGCAAGGCCATCTCAGCATGGCGGGCGATACCTTTACGTATGAACATGTATACAGCCTAATGCAGGACCAGGGCTTAGTGCTTCCGCATGAAACTACGACCATCGACCAATGTCAAACACTCATTGACGACCTGGACAAAGCACTCACCCATCACTTCAGCCTCGAAACCCTGATTGAGAAAATGGTTGCGCAGATGATTCAAGTGCATTGTAGAGGCGAAATCGGGGGTGGGCAACTGCAACCAACTTTGAACCAGCTCTGCCCAGAGGTTAAATCGACCACCATTGCTGAGTATCTTCAACGGGTGTATCGATCAAGAACTTGAAGTCTGACCAGGCGTGTATACATACTGACATTCATGGATTCATTTTCATTATCAGCTTTGCAGACCAGAAAAGAAAACTTTACATCCACATTAGTTCGTTCTTCATCCAGCAGATGGCGAGCTCATGTCGTTCTGATCACCAATTTGCCCGGATACGCAAGGAGGCCTTGGTAATATCCGCAATGGCCGGACAACCAGCCAAACCCATACAGGTCTTGAGTTCCACCCTGAGAATGCCCAACACAGCTTCTACACCCTGCTGTCCGTTACATGAGAGGCCCCATAGGGCAGGTCGCCCTGTCCATACAAAGTTGGCTCCCAAAGCCAGCGCTGGAAAGACGTCAACTCCGCGCCGGATCCTACTATCCATGTGAACAGGGATTACTCCATGAACAGCAGCCACGACCTCAGCCAGTGCATCAATGGTTGCCACGGCCCCATCAAGCTGTCGCCCACCGTGATTGCTCACAATGATGCCGTCGACTTGATGCTCGACAGCCAGCTTTGCATCTTGGTGGTTTGTCGCAACCAAGGACTGATTTCTCCCCATTCCAGACTTGAGTCCACGACGAGTCTTGATTCCTCTCCCATCCAGGTGCAATCGGTTTGCTGCTGCCCTGAGGTTGCAGTATTTGGGACCCCATCGAGATGGCCTCCATGAAATCCGGCGCCAGAGGCCGATTCCTGATCTCCGTCATCCGTCGAACGTATACTGTGTCGACGGTGAGCATGATTGCTTCATATCCTTCTTGTTCTACGCTGTGCAACAGCCTCTTGGTGACATCTCGGTCCTCGAACACGTCAAGTTGGAAAAACCTTGACGCTATTTCCTCCCGCCGACTTAACCTCCTCTGGAGAGCAGGCTACATCCGAGGACGCCATGGTAGTTGCCATAGACACACCCATGGTGGTGCCGCAACTATTCGCCACTCTCGCTGTTGCAGCCTCTCCATCGACGTAGGCCAGGGCAGTTTATGCCACCCTGATGGTGCTATACCGACCGGAAGACTCAGCTTTTGACCCAACATTGTCACTGATCTGTCAACCTTTTCTACATTTCGCAGTGCCCTTGGCCGCAGTCGATATTGCTCATACGCCGCAAGGTTCTCTCGCACTGTGGAATCATCTCCTGCACCATGTTCTCAATAGTCCCAGGTCACCTTATCAACTCTTTTTTCCGCCGCGGCCTTCAAACTCGGCCAACGATAGGAGGAGTGGATCTCAAGGCATGAATGCTTAAAATGAGTGAGTGACTGAGTTTCCTTTGCTAAGGTACTTAATTACCTACACAGGGTTCCGTGGATGGACTTTGGAGAACGATTCAGTGGAAATACTTTGGAGAACTAGGTATTCAGTGGAAGTCTTAATTGTACTACTTCAAACTTCTATTATGTTGGGTACTTAGGGGGACCTCTAGTAATCGAGGCAAACGATAGTTCCAAATCCTCAATATATCCGATGGTCGTCGGAAGTAGACGTTCTTGGCATCGGATGTATCGAGGCGCGTTGGGGGTATAACTAGTACGATATTGATTGGGTGAAACGAGAATGGGTCAAGAAGACCCCTCTCGAATCTATCACAACGGTGAGCTTATTTGAGATTGTGAATGATCCGCAAGTGTCCGTGATTTACGCGACACCATTGCCTCTTACGCAAATCGTACCCGAAACGGTTGCGATTCGTACAGTGGGGGTGTCTGGCACCTAGGTCTCTATCCCACATGAATAGGTAAGTACCAGGATATGAGTGATGTGTTTAATGAAAATGACACTGCATCGGCAACGTTGCGGGGGAGAGTCACAGCGACATTGGCTGCCGCGTTTTGTATATGCAGAACTGAGGAACTTGGAGGCTCGCTTAAGGTTGGCGACGGAGCGGGGAGGTAGATCATCATCGAGTGACAACTAGGTATCTACTAAGTAGTCATCAATGAGTTCGTCGGCAGCTTGGTGGCAGGAAGAAGGGACCTATATTATCATCACAAAGGAGCGCAGCACTACGTTCCGGGTACGCTGACCGGACGATAATGATCCCTTGACACGTCTGCAACGACCACATCTCAAATGGCCTGACTCAGTGTGGCAGACGGCAGCATCATCCCGAACACCAATCGCCCGAACACAAACAGTATGTAAGTAGGTACCTACCTAGGTAAGTACCTTATGTACCCGAACAAATCCAGCGGCATGCAAAGGCTGAGTGAGGAGGGACGAAGGGGCCAGCCACAGGAGGAGCCGTACCATGCAAGGCACCCTTGCAATTGCTTCTGAGTCAACTCCTCTTCGTGCCGTTGGCCAATTTCTGGACTGCCTTTGGAATTGACGATTGGCCTGCCACCGCCGCAGCAACCGAGGACATGTTGGTGAAGTCACAGCACACTGCAGTGGGTAGGTAGGTAAAGTAAGTAGTACCTAAGCGGGCAAGATAAACAGTATTTGCATAAACTGGAACCAAAGTGGTAGGGTTCATACTTTATTTGCTCGCGTCCCAGTCAGGCAAACATCGTATCGTCGCTGCTGGGATTGACAGCTTGCAGCCATGGGGCAGTAGGTAGGTACCTAGTAGGTATGTATGTTCGTACGTTGTTGACTATACAATGTAGACACTAGCGTTGTTGTGAAGAAGAGAGAGTCTGTGTTGTGTAAAAAAGAGAGAGTCTTCTGGAGGGGCAGATCTCCAGCCAGATCAATAAATGGAGAGAGGAAGGTGCACCTACACTTTCCTCAGTACTCGAAGTTTTTTCTCTTGTTCATGGAAGGCGCGCGTCCCTCGACGGTCGCTCCTTCCTTGCTCAAAAACCGCACCTTCTTCATCTATTTCCATAAGATACCACGTCTCCTACCTTGTTGAGTCTAGTGTGGATGTGAATTTAAAGTTTGCCGAGGTTGTTCCGTTGGGTTACCAGAAATCCGTTGTAGGCATGTTCTGAGGGCCAGTTCTTTGTTTCTGAGCGGAGGTGCTTCACTCCTATTATTCAACCGTGAGTGACTGGCCAACTTGATTCTCTATACCCGAGGGCCTGCCCGGTTTCCCGCCGGTTTCCCGCTTCCTTGGACGGGGGCGGATCGATGAAACAACCCAATGACATCTCTTCTGGAGGTTCAGGCCAGCCTTAGTAAGGTAGGTAGGTAAGTACTTTAGTATTTGAGTACCTCCCCTTATCAATTAGCACCTCTGGCTCACTGCTACCATTGAATTCCATCTTGACCTTCAGCCGAGCGTCGTGGCTCATACCGGCAACCTATGGTGTAGTCTTGATCTCGAGGGCGCGGAGAATGGCGACAAGTTGACTAGGAATGTGTTAGGACTTAGGTAGTTGAACCAGGCTGACACCTATAGCCTCATGACGCTACCTGTATAAAATAAAGTTGCAATTGCCGTGGGAAAACAGAACTCGAACATGGTGGGAAAAGGGACCTTCTCTCCTTAGTTCTCTAGGTAGGGTACTTACTTAAGGTAGTACCTACCTGCCTCCATACCTATAGGTGTTACTAAGTCCACCCGGATCAAAGCGATTTCATGAGGTTCAGCTCAGACTTAAACGAAGTCAACGTGTTCTCCGCTGGGCAGCTTATCCTTAGTCGTCGTAAGTACTTTCACATGGATGTTCACACATGTGGGAGTACGGAGAGTATGGAACATCCACCATAGTCGGTATACGAGTAAAGTACCCGTAAGTAAAGTGTAGGTCACGCACGTCACATGTGATGCGGCAGAAAAAAATGAATCAAGGTGGTGTCCAAAATGATACCAAATGCTACTGAAAAATAATGTTTTGGCGCTCAGAGTCATCCCTACTGACTTTGTTGAAAAGAGGAAAACGGAGCTGGCTGGTGAATGGCAAGCTGGAGTGCGATTCTGTGGCACCTAGAGTTGATCCGCTTGGAGCGTGTGTCGCATTGTTGGCATCGTCAGTCTATTATAGGGGGGGCGATGTGTTACGTCCATGTCATGTCCATTGCCATGGTCAGTCGACGACAGACGGACGGACCGAGGGACATGGATCTCAGAAGAATGACTTAACCAGATCAGGTCATTCTTCTGCCCATCTTCTTTCACGAAGAGGCATTTCCTCGCCTTCCTGGGCGCGGCTTCCAGACTCCTCTGCCCGCCAGGCAAAGTACTCGTCTAAGCGGACTTCGGCATATGAAGCATAATCGAAGTCGATCTGGGAAATGGTGGCCTGGATGAGGGCCCAGATGCCCCAGTACAGGCCGGGCATACCACGCCAACGATCAATCTCGTCAAAGAGAATCTGGTGCATGTTTTCGGGGACGGGCTTGTCGCTGTGGGCATTGTACGAGGCGAGGTATTGTTGGATGAATCCACGACGGACAGACCTGGTGGGGAGCATGTTATAATCACAATCATAACCACCCCATTCGGCAAAGTGGTTGGCAATGTCGAAGCTTGCAGGGCATGGCGTGGCATACTCGTAGTCGATGAAGGAAACTCTCAGGTTGCTATCCGACTGACTATCGTGGGCATCAAGCGGCAACATGATCACATTGGCACTCAACAGGTCACAATGCCCAAACACAAACCCGTCAGCGCCCGGACCTCGTTGATTGTCCAGATCTTTGAATGATCGATCAAGTTCCTTCTGGAGGATTTGTTTCCTGGCCTTCTTTTTTAGGGTGTCTTGCGGCAAGGCACTAACCCATTTTTGCATGACCGACCAGCAGTTCGGCACTGGCTTTCTGGAGAGAAGAGCAGATTGTCCATTGACGCCGTTGAGAGCGGGGTTATGGGATCCATTGGTGCCATTGCTCCCGTTTTGGACGGTGGATTTGGAGGCGACAGCGTGGATGGGCAGTCGAGAATGCCACTCTCCTAATCGTTCGGCGACGGCACGCCAGACGGGTTCTCGAATGAGATCTTTGGGCGTGCAGACTTTTCCAATGATGTATCTGTATAGCAGGCCGTTGTTGAATCGAGCGAGCAAAGTCGGAGCGAGGCCAAACTGGGCACACAAGGCGTGGGATGTGGCCTCGCGGTCTCGATCGATGATGATATCTGTGTTGTTGCCGTAGGCGCGCAGGAGGACGGAGTCTTCGTCGATTTCAGTGCTCGTCAGGCCCGGGATATGTTTGGAGATCTTGAGTAACTGCGGATCGAATATAAGGGTGAGCACGTGCCCGCACAGGGCGGCTTTGTGGTTGTGGGAAAGGTAAACTCACATTATTGGTGATGCCATCGGTGAATTTGATAATTTCAATCTTTCCAGGAGCGTCCCGCCATTTAGACTGTATTCTATACACGAGGTCGAGGGCAGAGGACTCTGAATCTTGGGGGTTGAATGATGCGTCAATGTGTAGTAGCTGCGGGCTGTGGCCGTTGGAATTAGTGGTGGTAGACACCATGGTCAAGCATGATCTGATGGAGGGTAAATTGCATGCAGGGTTAGGGGTAGCAGAGCAAGCGCATGAACATGAATTGAGAGGAGGGATATTGTTAGGAGGGAGAATAGTGAGGATCTATGAGGTGTCCAGATCGAAGGAGAAATGGAAAACAGGATAATGGGGAATTGGAATGGAGGGTGGAAGGAAATGGGACATGTGCGTTGATTTGGTGTGGTTTGGGACTGACGTTGGCCCTGGGTGGTCGCTTTGACGCCAAACCCCAACAAGGATGATGGGGGACGACGAGGGCATGGATGGGCATGGATGGGGGAGGACACGAGGGGACTCTGTGCTGCTTGGACAGCTTTGGAAAGGATCAGAGGCTCCGACCCCTCTATTCGGTACTACATCCACCGATCTATTCTTATTATATTTGTTGGATACATACTATCAGGGACTGTGGTATGAAACTCTTAACTTGGATCAGATATTCACAAGTCCAAGAACCTGCAGTAGGTAGAAATCTTTGTTGATGTTGCACAGTGTCCCAGCTGTGAAGATTGGGTGAGGATACCTGAATTCATGCCTAGACGGGTACCTGCCTTCCCTTAGGTGCTCGGACACGAGCGGGTGGCGCCCCAAGTTGGTACCTGTCTATGCCTCTGAGGAACCCAGCATCCAGCCTATCTATTCATCAGCTATCGCAATACCTTGAGAAGTCCAAATTCAACAATCTATTCCGAGGCAGAGAATGGCACTTGATACCTTGCCTCTTTTACTTCCTCACCGCCCTTACTCTTCTTAAACTTTAGATGGATCAGTACTTTGGTCCAGGGACATTACCCCTCTACCCTCTACGGTCAGGTGGGTGGGTTTCCCCATTTGCATGGCGTGGGGCCCCTCGGCCGTAGTTCTGGGCTTCCATTCCCGCCCATCAACGGGAGCACCAGGAACCCGCAAGCCCCTCTTCCACCTTTCTTGGGTCTTGTCAGTAGGTACCTACTAGGTAGGAGGTAGGTAAACAACTGTGTAACTGCTGTCGGAATTGTCCAACACGCCTAGGTACTGAGGTAGACACCCACGCACCCTGTTTGTAGGGGTCCTCTCGGTACTGAATGCTAGCACTGCTAGGGTGCGCTGGTGACGTGCCAGCGTGCCACGGCATATGCGCCAGCGCCACTTGCCAGGTACCGTGTGCCAGGTCATGTTAGCTAGGAGCACCCAGGCGATTTTCAAGCTTTACACGTCATCCACCTCTTGGCTTGCCAGGTACCTGACAACTGACCAGTACGGGTGAACCACTCGTGACCATTCTTATTGACTGCCGACACACCTCCGCATAGAAAGACGTATGATATACGGGTTACTCACCTTGGCCCCGCCACATCTAACTGGAAGCAGACAGCCCCCTACGACTCGATACGTATGTACATCAGCGGCATTTACATACTGTATCGGTCAATTGATTCAAGTCATATGTAATACTGGGTCGATTTCGGCATTTCATTGTATGTCGTGAAAAGACCTGCGTCCACTGCCAGGCACCCTCGGTCCCTCAGCCTGGTTGGATGTCCATGGGACATATACAAAACATTTATACCTTGATATCGAAGGAAGGTACTTATGCAAAATGAAATTGCTCTCATGATCCCTTTAGACCGTTGACCTTTTCCTCTTCTCTATCCGCCTCCCAGAGAGTTTTAATCTAGGAGATCTTCTCGAGAATAATCTTCGAGCCCACCTTCTCGCTGTCCAACTTGCTCTTGTCTTTTCTCAATCGATCCACCACTTCTTGCTTTCTTGCAAATCCTTCCGTCTCCAACAGGGCCACCACAACAAACGAGTTCGCTCCATTGGCCCAGTTGACCAGTTCGTCCTCTCCTTGAGATACGATTGCATCGTACAGAATGTTGTGGAAATCTACAGGTGGGTCATATTTGACGATCGTTTTTGTGCTCTTGTCGAATCGGCCCCCTTGAACCAGTGCTTTCAGCATACGCCCAACCGCAGGGCTTGAAAGAAGAGGCTTTCCAGCTTCTGCACCTTCCTTGACAATCTTGGACTCTGCGTCGTCGGTTGTATTGCTGAGCTGAGCGACCGCTTCGAGAGCTGCCTGCTTATCACCGATAGCTCCAAACAATGTCTCGGTAATGAATTGACAACCCAAGTTTGATGATGCTAGAAACTTCGCATGACTTGCAATAAGATCGAGCAGCGGTTGCGAAATCTGTTTGACAAGTTCTTTTCGTCGAGTCTCAGCGTCCTTCTTGGATGTCTCTGCACGAATCTTGTGAACGTCTTCACGTAGGCGGATAACGTCGTCATTGACGAACAACCATTTCGGTGGGTCTGCGCTCATGAGATAAAGGAGAGAAACACGGCCCGTCAAATGTTCCGTCAATGCCACGAGAGCTTCATCTGCTGCTTCGCCGAGGTCCCGAGAAAGAAGCTCCGCAAAGATAGCTTTGCCAGTCATGACCGTGTCATCGATGACATCGTACGCGGTCATCAGCACGGTGTGGCCGTAAAGGTCTTCCGCCAGCAGTCGAATGTGGGTCTTAAAGAACCGCAGGATTGTTCGTCGGCCTTTAGAACTTTCATGTGCCAGAGCAAGGCAAACCAGGCGAGATCCAGATTTGGTAAATGCCAGGTTTTTGTAGCAATCTCCCTCTTCATCATCCCGCAGCATCTCGAGAAACTCGGTGATCTCAGGGCTTGCAGGCTTGCAATTCAAAAAGTACTGCAGAAGGGCGTCATGGAGGATGGTGAAACCGGTGGTCTTTTTCTGGACCAGCTGGTTCGTCATTTCTTTGAGATGCTGCATGATCGGACCACGCTTCTCGGGGTTTTGTGCTAGGATATCGGACAGGTCGCCCGTCACCTCTCCGTCCGATTTGCTCTTTCGGTTGTCGGTAAATACAACAAACTCTGGTCCATACCATTCTCGAAGTAGCACGGCCTTCTGCGACTTGGTAGCAATGCTTCGATAGATATCATCCACGATCCAGCTAGCCTCTGGATGGCGAATGAGGCGTTTGACATGTCCGTAGAACTCTTCCACAACGGCATTCTTCACCTCGTCGTCGTTGACAACCATCTTGGCAATCAGAAATTTGGCATACTTGGATTCCGCCAACTCTCGATAGCTGCCCCTCAATTCCCCGGCGATCTGTTTTCGCTGTTCAGGTGTGGCGTATTTCAGCGCACACTGAATCACTCGTACCGAGTCATGCTTGAACACAAAGTCCTTGACTCGTCCAGATATTATCTCAAAGAGTTCCTTGACTAGGGTCTCACGCTCTTCTTTGGGGACATGGGACTTTCGGCGTAGTCGTTCCCAGATTTTCTTCGATCGGAGAATCAAGTCGGCGTTTGGTTTGGCCGCCTTTCGTTCTTGTGCGAGGGCTTTCTGCTTGACGTGAGATTCGCGAGAGGTGGTTCCTCCTGCGCCTGGTAAAAGGTCAGCGACTCTGGGTTGAAGGCTGATGAGGGTAGAAGAATCTTACCACCTAGATAGGGCTCAGAAGGCGCTGAAAATTTCTTATTCGGGGGCCCATGGCCCTCCTTGTTTCCCCCATAATTTTGTTTGGGATACTTGTGCCCTTTGCTTTTGTCAAAGGGAACAAAGTCGTCCTGTGTACCAAGTGATGGGGCCTTGCCGGAACCATTAGCGAATTTGGCCTTCTTTGAAGACTGACCGTCGCCGATATCGCTCGGTCGTTTTGTCCCAGCCATCTTAGACATGGCAGATTTTCATGTGGTAAAGCTGGAAACACTGGTGATCTCAACTGGCATGTACTGACATATAAGCAGAAATCATCCGTGCCAGCAGCCAAACTTTTTTTCCAGGTTGGAGACGCAGTCGGCGGTGGAGTCTCTGAATCTGCCGCTCCAACTTCTTTAGCGTCTTGGCATATATGATACGGCGGAGTATATGGCCTTCTACGTAGCACTTCCACAAGCATCAGAATCACGCCTACGACTACGGGATACAGATGATCCATCGCTATAATAGGTACCTATAGGTAGGCTGAGAAGCAATCGAATTGCTTAGTCGCTCAATAACGCAACGCTAAAACGCTCTAACACAAATACAGGAGCCATATAATCGCCTGAGCAACATCATACCTGGCCTGTGGTGCCTGCTGAGATGAGTTCTGCTCGATTCCTATCCTGACGATGAAGTATTTGTCTCGGCGATGGCGTCGTCCGGCATCTGACTTCGATCATGATCCTCTAGTGGGCTTTGAGTCTGGCGAGTCGGAGGCGACTTGGTTGGCCCGGCAGGAGGTGCAGGCGCTGGGCCCGATGGAAATCCAGGTTGCGGATGGGCAGGGAAAGGTCCGGGGGGTGGCGGGGGCCTTGCCCCGGCTGGAGCAGGTTGAGGCCATTGAGGAGGAGGGGGCGGATACTGATACTGAACCGAAGCCATCTGCGGATAGAAAGTATATCCAGCTTGTGGTGCGTTTGGCGGCCGCTGCAGCTGCTGATGCGCAGGAGAATAATTCCCTGGTGGGTATGATGGACGTTGGGTAGACGTATCCCATCTGATAGGAGTAGAAGAAGATTGAGTCTTCTCCCTCTCCAGATCTTGTATCCTGGAATGCGCAGCTTCGAGTTGCGCCCGAAGAGCTTCGAGTTGCGAAGCCGCGTCAAGAAAAGGAGGGACCTCATGGGGTGCAGCAGGTGGTGCAGCAGGCGGTGCAGCAAATGGTTCGGCAGGACTAGAGAGATAAGACAGCATGGCGGCCCGAGGAAGAACAGGTCCAGAGGGTTCGTGAGAGCCTGGAGTAAGGCGCTCCCGCCGCTGAGATCGCTTTTTCGGTCTGTCAGGCGGCGGACCCCAGTTCAACGAGTTGCCAGACATGAATCCAGACATCATCCCAGGGTAGAGATGCTTTTGGGGTTTAGATCGCGCCGCATCCGTCGACGAATCATTCTCGACTCCGATAGATGGCTCCTCAGTGGCTGTATCTGTTGGTGGATTATTCAAGGCTTCGGGCGACGACTCGTTAGCAACGCGGTCTGCGGAACCAAGAAAATCAAACAGAGGCTGCAGGCTGCTCTCTCGTGGCTGTGGCTGCACGTCGTCGCTCTCGCTCTGAGGCTGAGGCTGAGGCAGAGGCTCTGTAGCGCGTCGTTTCTTAGCTGGTGCTGCTTTGGTCTTTGGCGTGGAAGTCTTGGACTTGTAACCCCTAACTTTGGTCAGAAGCCCGGGCTGATAGATCTCCATCAATTTTCTCCTCTTGCTGTCCCTTCTTGGTGGCGGTGCTCGTTCATCATAGGTTTTATGCAACGGTATATGCTTGTAATGAACCTCGAGGCTCATTTTGGTGACGGAGAACTTAATACAGGCGTTACCTTGGCAGTCATAGACCTGCTTGCGGATTTTGACACTGTTTCGAACCATGGCTGCCCCTTCGTTGGCTGCTCTTCCCTTGTTCAAGATCGAGTCGTTACAATAGTAACTGAATCGATTGGCCTTGTCTTCGCGGCTCAGCCAGCTATTGTGGAAACTGTACCGATATCCGTCCGCTTGTTGAACCGCCTCAGCGAGGGCTTTGGAAATCAGTCGTTGAACTTCGGCCTGTTCCTTTGGCTCTTTGGACTCATGCAGTGCATCCATGGCGCTTACCGCGGTCTTCTTGAATGGACTGTAGATGTGCTGGATCCGCTTCCCTGGCTCGTGAGGCGGAATCTCTTCCCGTTGCGGCACCAAAAAGGCGGCAGTCATGGGGAAAGACATGACAACCGTAGTATGCTCTGGCTGCTCAACTGGCTGGGCTAAGTAATCCTTCAATTGACTGATCATGTCCTCGACTTTTTGGCATTGAATATTGACAGACTTGCCAAGTGGGTCCTTCGCGTGGCGCCCTCGACGAACAGATGAAGTCCTCACAGGCACTTGAGGCTGTGAATCTTTTTCATGCTGGTCGGCACCTGGGACAATCTCGCTACTTGCAGGAAGAGATGTGTTGTCCACAGACTCTGCGTCCGGAGTCTCCATGGGAATGTTGAGACGTCGATGGGGTGGACTCGCATTAGATGGGTTTTGCAGGAAACAAGAAATACGCATGGGGCGAAGGTCGTGACGCGACGATTATAACTTATTAGGCCCCTCGGCCGCGTACAAGCTTAAAGAGCGGATGCCCCTGCCAAGCTAATAATAGGCGGCGCCTCGGGCCCCTCAGGCTTCTCGGCCTTCGCCGTGGGGATTAATCTGAGATGCTGCTGCTCCACCGCTTGTACTTTATTGTTGCTCTATCACAACGCCATTTCACCAGTCTCGTCTCAATTCAGGTCTTTCCCACGCTCCACGGCCATTCCTTTGATGAACACAAAACATCTTAGAATTCCTCCCTCGATCAGCAAGCATTTAGCGTCTCGAACGGCTAGATCTTTCTCCTCTCACCGGCCAACCATGACTGACATAACCGCCCTCCGACCCATCGTCCTCTCAGGCCCTTCTGGCACTGGAAAATCCACACTCCTCAAACGCCTTTTCTCTCAGCACCCCGATCTGTTCGGTTTCAGCGTTTCCCACACGACGCGGAAGCCTCGCCCAGGCGAAGAAGATGGCGTCCACTACCACTTCACCACTACGGATGCCTTTGAGAAGTTGATCGAGGAGAATGCGTTCGTGGAACACGCTAAATTCGGAGGAAACTACTATGGCTCATCGAAAGCGGCGGTTCAGGATGTTGCCGATGGCAAAGGCAAGAGCATCGACGGAACTACAGCTGAAGGCAAGAGAATATGCATCTTTGACATTGAGATGGAGGGTGTCAAGCAACTCAAGAAAAGCCCGCTGAACCCTAGAATCTGTTTCATTCAGCCCCCAAGCGTCGCTGAGCTAGAACGTCGACTGCGTGGCCGTGGAGATACCAGTGAAGATTCAATCCAGAAGCGGTTGGCACAGGCCAAGAACGAGATGGAGTACTGCAAGACAGAAGGCAAGAACGACAAGGTCATCATCAATGATGATTTGGATGCCACTTTCAAGGAACTGGATGAGTGGGTCATGAAAGACATTTCTGCTCCTTGAGGGCAGGCTGGCCGACAGAGGTCGTGTCCTCCAGAGATACGAATGATGAGTACAGCAATGCGATAGACGAGTCTAGTTAGACATTTTTTAGACACAGCAAGATAGAAAGAATTGTCATGAGAAATATTATACCACACCTTGTCAAGGACGAAAGACCCGCTCTCAATAGACGCTACATCAGAAATTGCCCCGTCATGGGAAATGGACATCAAGATCCTCAGCGAGGCTCATTCTTCACCGCAAGACCTTGAATTTTGCCACCACTCGCTTTTGCTCGTCACATCCAACCACACAGATCAGTCAGACTTAGTATCCATTCATGGTCATCCGCTGCGAGCCCCTGCTCAGCTCCCGGTCAGCTGCTGGGCTGATGGGTCTGCTCCCGGACAGGCCTGCGCTGCTTTCCTTGAGTGCCAACAGCTGCTTAGCTCGGAAGGTTTCGTAGTGGATCTGGCTGGTGGTTTCGATCAAGTCCTGGAGATGGGTACGAGTGAGGAAGTTTCGAAGGTAGACGAATTCAGAGTGGTTCTCATCTTCGACGTTGATGACGCCCCACTTGTTCTGTCGTCCACGGACTTGCTTGCCGTTAACAATGATTGTCTTCTCGCTGCCCACCACAGCAAATGGGATGATATCCTTGATAGTCGTGTTTGTGGCTCTTTCCTCGTCATCCAACTCTTCGTTGTCATATGGATACATCTTCAAGTTGTGGAAGGCAAACTCCTCCTTGATGCGCTCCTTGAACGCACGGCGCTCTTCAAGGGTGAGCGAGTCGGCCTTGGCGATGACAGGAACCACGTTGACCACATCAGACAGTTTCTTGAGAACGACAATGTCAATGGGTTTGAGGGCGTGGCCTGAAGGCTGAATGAAGAAGAGGCAGCAGTGAATGCGAGTGTCTTGGATGTATCGTTCTCTTTGAGCGGTCAATTCTTTCCGCAGATAGGCCGAATGTTGGTCTTTGATGTATTTGACGATGGGATCCCAGCTGAAGAGTATTAGACGGCGCAATCCTTGCGTTTTGCGAGAGCTGACTTACCATCGATCGTTGTTGACCAAGTCTCCGTAGCCTGGGGTATCGACAATGTTCAGTCTTAATCGGACGCCATTCTCCTCGATCACTAAGGACAGTCAGAAAATAGGTGATGCATGGTAAGGAAGAGTCTCAACGGACCATGGGACACTGTCTGAATCTCAGTGGTCGAACGGCTTTGCTCATCAGGACGCAAGCGGCCCTTGGAATCGATAAGGTGGGATGCGAAGATGGTGTTAATCAAAGTCGACTTTCCCAATCCTGTTTGACCTGCAATTTCAGTTAGATCAAATACATATCCTCCCGAGATCACATCCTTACCAACGCAGATGACATTGAATTGGAAACCTCTCTTCAACAGCTTCTTCTCGATTTGCTGGGTGATGGAGTCGAAACCGACGTGGCTTCGTGGAAAGACTGCGTTCCCTGCAGGCAACGCCATTGTCATTCTGGTTTCGAGAAGATCAAGGCGGACGGAGTCGTGGGCGGGCGAGGTTGACAAATTCTTGCAGTTTAACAAGCGAGGTCAATGATGCCGACAGTGACAGGTTGAGAATCGGAAAGTATGGGTCATACGAGGAAGTTGCGACAGCGATAAATTTCCCCAGATGGACAGGAGTTTGACACGAAGGCACTGTTGAGTCTCTCAAGTCAGGGAACGTCCCCTATTTTTTGGCTGGTGGGTTCGCATTGGTCTGAAGTGCATCCAAAGCCCGTTTAGTGCAAGCGGCCACTAACCCATTCGTGCCCATTCTCCCTATCGTCAGGTTCAGGAACAACCTTAGGCTACCCCAGCACGCCTAGCTCACGGTACTAGAGTTAGGCTCAGGACCAATTAAGTGACGTTACGGCTCCAATTCCCCTTCTACGGCGCAATTTGGGGGCCCCTCAGGTCTTGTTCAAGCGCGGAGCAGTGACCCAGTGCCGCAGACTCAGGTGCCGCATTATACTTCATAGTGCAGTATCACAGATGCTGCTGCACATCCTAATAATTTCGGATTCCGTTCAAGGATTGTACAAATTTGTTCTGAACGCCTCTCCCACTCCACACCCTCTCATTTATCCTGCTGGAGCCTTCGCCGTCCTGAGCCATTGACCAAGATGGCTCTGACCGCAGCAGGGACAGGCGCTCGTCTAGCCCAATTCCTACAGCGACCTTTTCTCTCATCAGTCTCTCCCTCATGGGCAACTCGGACACTTGTATCAGCCTCTATCACCATCCCAGCCATTTCGATAAACCTTCCAGGACTGATTTCGGACATCTGGGATGGAATTCTCAAGGCGGTACCCAAGAAAAAGACATCTCACATGAAGCGCCGCCATCGGCAATTAGCTGGAAAGGCTTTGAAAGATGTGACCGCGGTCAATACTTGCCCGGGATGTGGCCAGCCGAAGCGGGCCCATTTGTTATGTCCATATTGTGTTAAGAGTATGTCATAATCAATGCGAGCTGCTGCTGTTCGTCTCTAACATTTTGTGCAGATATCAAGGCGAAATGGATCGGTGACTCTCAAAGAGCTATTGAACGTGGAGAAAGTCTGGCACGCGCGGAGCTCGAAAGACAATTAGAGGCAGAAATGCAGAACAAATCTACGACGGAGAGTAAGCAAGAGGTCGCATCAACAACAGAAAAGACAGTATAATCCGTGGGTGCGCATTTACGACAATGGGCAGCCATCTAGAGAACCGTTTTCGCAACTCACAAGCAGTAGCATACACATCCAGCTGTCCTTGGCCCGGTGCCGATCTATCGCATACATCCCAACCACTCCAATCGCTTGTCGGAGGTCGCAAATCACTGGCGGCCTGTGGAATGGGAATGGATTATGTTGTCCGCCTCCGCGTCACTTGACTCGAGCGGTACGGAAGTTTCCAGGCCCTTACTGTCAGAGAAGGACATGCGGAGAATAGCCTCATGACCTTTATGCATGCCACTGGGTTCCATGACATTTGGGGACATTGTCTGACACTTCTGTGTCACTACCGAAAGCTAGGAATCGAAATGGGGAAGTGGTCCACGATTTGGCGGGAGGCTTTCCATTACAGAATCATGTAAAATTACGTCATGTGTACAGTAATTTTGAGTCCAAAGAATAAATGTTTAAAGAACGTCGTTGCATTCATTCCTCTAATCCTCTTGACCCTCGACCCCGACTGACCATTTGTCAATCGCCGTGTACTTCTCGGGTGATCCTTACAGCGTGTACTGAGATGCATCTCAACCGCTACGACAATGGTTAGTCACCATCGGCGTCGCATCCACCAAGTTTCCAGCTAACTAATTGCCCTGTTTACAGTCCAAACAGTATCTCGCTCAACATACGATTGACGAGGGTAATACCACAGACCCTTCACTCCGATCTCTCCAACCAAGTTACTAATATCTCCTTTCCAGCCCACCCTAGCGACATCTTCTCTCTCGCAACCACACCTACCCAAATTCTCACCGGCTCAGGTCAACCATCCATCAAGATCTTCTCTACCAACAAGGACGATTTCCCGATCGACCAAAGCCTCAGCGACGCGCACAAATTAGGTGTCCACCACCTCGCGACCAGCAAGAATGGCACGCGGGCCGTGAGTGCGGGGTTCGGAGGCGAAGCCAAAGTCTGGAATTTCACAGAGGGTATATGGAAGCAAGACTCGGAAATCACGAGCGACAAAAAAGCGGGTGAAGTCTGGGCTATTGCCTTGTCGGCCGACGGACAATATCTTGCGGCGACGACATATGATGGGCGAGTGGGTGTATATGACTTGGCCGACAAGAATAAAAAGATCAGGGACTACGAGACTAAAGGCAGTTTTGGCATGGCAGTCGACTTGGTACGTGTCATTGCCGCACAGAACGCCTGCTCCTCGACGCAACCGATCCGAAAGACTCAAGCTAATCTTCATATGTCATCCTAGTCTCCCGATGGTCGCTTCGTTGCCAGCGGGCACGAATCCGGAAACATCTACGTGTTTTCCACCGCCACAAACCGTCTCCTTCACTCATTGCCAGGTCTCATCAAACCCGTCCGGGCCGTTACTTTCTCTCCCATGTCAACTCTTCTCGCCGCCGCTGGAGACGCCCGCATCATCTCGCTGTACGATCCGAGTTCAGGCGAGCAGGTCGCCAATCTCACCGGTCATGCTGCCTGGATCACCAGCTTGGACTGGAGTCATACAGGTCAGTATCTTTTAAGCGGGGCTTTGGACGGAAAGGTCAAAGTGTGGGATATTGAGAGACGGACTTGTGTGGCCACGCACAGTGAAAGTGACCAGGGCTTGTGGTGCGTCAAGTGGTTACCAAAGGGCGATTCTGGCGTCGAGAGACAAAAGGCCGAGAAGTTTGTGACGGTGGGTGCGAATAGGGCGGTTTCTGTCTACCGTGAGGCGACGGGTGGATGAGGACTTGCTAAAGAAGGAAAACAACCACAAACTCGACGACGAGCGTCGTTGTCGTCATATTCAACGACAGTTATAGGCTCTGTTCCGGTTCCAAAGCATGAATTGGAAGGTGGAGGCTGCCGAACATCCAACTCGACTATGAATGGGCGACCATGTAATTGCCTATGTGTCTCTAAACCCGAAAGAGGCGAGGCAGTCTTTGTCCGACCAGTGGTCTGCGTCCAAGGGTCGTCGCCATTCCAAAAGATCGGTTGAATATGCCCAGTGTCGGCTTCAATAGAGCATGATGATCAAATAGCCATACGGGCCATATGATGCTGAGTCCTGCCAGCAGACAGAGTGAGTCTCTACCTTGGGCCTAAACAAATGGCATGTGGATGCAAGTACCGATCAGTGGTGATGTCTTATATGTACTCGCGGCTGGGCTATTGCGAGATACGGCTACAGACTTTCCCATCGAGGATCCCATGAGTGTCCTAGCATACAGAAAAGAATTTAGAGCATCCATAGAACGACAAATATGAACCCAAATTTGTATCTCCAAAAAATAGACACACAACATCCACACGTAAGAAGAATGCTGTGCAACACGATCAGAGAAGCATACGATCATTTTACTGAAAGTTATGCATGGGGATCTATCTTGGCTAGCAATTTGACAACATCAATCACGGAAGAAACGGGATTGATGAAGCTTCGAATCTGCCGTTGAATCTAAGGTAATGGAGAGGGCGGGTACGATTAAGCAGATGAAAGAACGAAGTGCGTGCATCGAGGTATTGGACGCTCGATATAACCTAGGATATGGAGCAGAATGGAGGCAAGAGAGGAAAGAGAGTATCGAACCTACCTCACTGTGCACGGCATTCATTTGCCAGATTGAACACAGACACAGATCATCAAGTCCAGGCAGTCAGGCAGCAAAATAGAGCAGCGCCCGAGGCATATGTAATGCCCGTGACCATCCTGGTCCTGCCTGGGTTTGTTGTATGAGAAGAGCGTGATGTGAGGAGGAGTCACGGTTAGCAGTCCAGTAGCACTGAGGTTGTTCGTTCAACACCTGAAACATAGCCCATGATCCATCTTGACTGGCGTGAATACGAGCCGATAATCAATTGACAATGGTAATGGACCATCAAGACTGATTTGTCTGTCTCATCATAGGACTGTAAACCAAAAGCGAACCGCACTCTCCACGATCGAAAAAACCCCAGAGGGGAAAAATTCTCAACGAGGCAAGGTTTAGAATCGGTTTGTTGATTTGATCTCGGCAACTCGGGAATGTGTGGACGCAATTAAAAACACTGTAGTGAGCAGTGTGTGGTGCATTCAACAAGGGTATAATAGAGTGCCTTTGACAATATATGTATAAAAGAAAAGAAGAAGATGGGGAGAGAGATGAGATGGAGGATAAAATATGATACTCCGCCAAGCCGCTAACATTTTCCAGGTTGCGCCTTCCCTAACTCATAACAACCAAACACGCCGACTAAGATAATCAGGCATGCCTATGAATGGTTTCTTCCCTTCTTGCCTCGACTTGTACGTGTATATGGCGATGTTACTAACTTGGCATACGAGGTTTAGAAGGTGTTCAATTTGGTTTTGGTAGACTTAGAGCTGTGTTGTGGACAACTGGAGACATGAGGCTGTAGCACGCCCAGTCGAGAGTATGTGTCTGATTCGATGCTCCATGCATAATTTAATGTTCATACAATGATATCGCTTATATACAAGAGCCATCAGGGCATAGCAGTGCCACCCTCTTGGCCTTTGGTGTCCCCTAGCAGGCAATCCAAGATGGTCCAGACTTGTTGCTTGACCTGGACGACAATGACGATAGTCAACTGGAGACAGACAGGCCTGATGTGAGTAACAGGTCTTGTGTCGTGTGTGCCGAGTTCAATACAGAAAGAAGCATATGTCTAGACCTGTCGTAGAGATATGGGAGAACAGGTTCGAGGGCACAGTCGGCGCGGGGAAGTGGCGCAAAGCATATAGCATCGCGTCGGCCAGAAGTGTGTGAGATACAGTTCTAGGAGGTTAGAACTTGGTCGTAAGGTTGTCAGATTGATTTCTTTTCATCTTCCTTTGAGCGACTTCCGAAGGCGTAGGCCAGACCTCCACCGACCAGATTAACCAGACACAAACCTATCGTCGCACCTCGAATGATGCCTCGGGCGCCGAACTTGTTCATGATACCGACTCTTCTCCGTCCTGCCAGGACCAAGTATGTGCCACTCAAGGCAGCGGTGGTGCCAGCGCTATCAATCTTGTAGCCTTGAAGATTGAGATAGGTGGTGAACATCAGGAGTGGGGGAAAGATCATAGGGACAGGTTGGAATGGGCGGGCATGTTGGGCAAAGACGAGTGTGGCGAGCAGGGCAGGTGGGACGGGGTTCTCTGTTAGAAGTGTAAGTAAGATGACTAGTCAAGACACAAAGGTCAATAGACATTTCCCAGCAGTAAAGTGATGAGAAGTGGTGGGTGTATAGAGACTGACCTCCCCATTTTTTGGCCGTCACAATCAACGAGTCTTTGGCATCCTCCTTCTTCTGAGGGTCAGCCATACTGTACAGAAGGCCTTGCACGAAGAAATGTTTGTTCTGGATCTATTCTGCGTGCAGGTCGGGTGCACCTGTTGTGCTGTCGTGGCAGATGCAAAGTCAGAAGTGAAGCAATGCAAAGTCCATTAATGAGTTGGTTCACTGCGTCATCGAGGCTGTCAGTGTCAGTGCATGTTCTGTAGCTCCAGCGAGGTGCCTACAGAAACGCTAATCTTAATCGAGCACTCCTCCAGGCGCCCGGGCCTCAGATTTAAGTTGACTCGTTAGGTACGGAGTAGTCCTTATAGGCACCCCAGCGCCCCCTCACAGGCAGCACCTTACTCAGGACACACAAAGCCTACCTAGGTAGGTACCTAGGTGTCTAGGGACATGTGGAGAGCATAGGCGCTGCACCAGTTCAATTGGGGCTGAATGCCCTGAACCACTGCATGTATCGGCGGCCCTGGAAGAGTGACCTCAAGTGTTCCACTATCTTGGATCGTTAATCATCTGTCACCATTGCAGATTCAAAGTTACGTCGTGCTGTGAGAGACCGATACTGACCCAAATGGGCGTTAATTAGTGCTTAGCAAGTCTCATTGGCGGCCACTGTTGCCAATGCCTCAGGCGGACGATATGTTACGCCACCATGTCCCGAGTCACGTGGAAACCCACTACACGCGGCTGTGAGACTCAACTTGTTCCGTCACAAAAGGTGCAGACGATTCCACGGCAGCCAACTTGAGACCACCTTTACAGTCCCAGGCCACAATTTATTCATCCCAGAGCGCAAGAAGACCCAGAGGAGAGCTCACATTACCTCCCATCGGTACCTCTCTCATCAAAGATCATCAGCCTCGTATCCCCCTTCTCCATCGCCTTCGCCATCCCCATCGACACTACTGATATCTCTTGCCCGCCAACTTTGCTCGCGGCATGTCCGCAACAGCGTCGGGGTCTGATGCCCGCGCAAATGGGTCGGCCACTTCTCGCGAACATAGCCAGGGCAATCAAGACCGCAAATTTACCCCGCAACAGAAGGCCGAAGTCATCCGTATTCGACGATGTTCGCCGACCTCATTTTACGAAATCCTCTCCGTTGAAAAGACGTCATCGGACGGCGAGATCAAGAAGGCATATCGCAAGATCAGTCTGTTGACGCATCCAGACAAAAATGGCTATGATGGGGCAGATGAGGCATTCAAAAGTGGGCACAAGACATGATAGTATCGCGAGAGATGGCCTTGCTAACGTTCAACAGTGGTATCGCGAGCCTTCCAGATCCTGTCCGACCCGGACAAGAAATCTCGCTACGATCAGTTTGGAGGAGACCCGGACAGTCGATTCTCTAGCAGTAGTGCCGCTGCCGCGGGAGCAAGTCCTTTCAGTGGGTTTGCACGAGCGTCCGGACGAGGTCCTATGTACGACGACGAGATCTCCCCAGAAGAGCTCTTTAATCGATTCTTTGGTGGTGGCGGAATGGGACCAGGAGTTTTTGGTGAGTCTTCTACGAAGAAGCGAAGTGGGGAGCTGACTTTCCTTCAGGTGGTGGATTCGGTGGCCCGCAGTTTGTATTCAACATGGGAGGAGGTCCAGGATTCACAGTCCATCGGATGGGAGGGGGTGCGCCGCGGAGGAGACCCAGAACCGCCAACGAACCTGAAGCCAGTGGCATGTCGGCGCTGACTCAATTACTGCCTTTGCTGTTATTGTTCATTCTTCCACTTCTATCTTCATTTTTCTCTGGAAGCTCTTCGCCGTCGGGCCCTCAAGTACGATTTGATACGGCCTCACCACCACACACCATGCACCGAGTCACACCGCGGTACCGAATCGACTATTTCATCAATCCCAAGGAAGTGGAAGGATGGAAGGCTCGACAATTCAGTGCCTTAGATCAGCAGGCTGAAGTGGATTATGTGACCACGTTAAAATATCAATGCGAGAACGAAGTTCATCTAAAACGACAGGAAATCAACGATGCAACGGGCTTCTTCTTTACGGATGAGGATCGAGTTCGGAGGGCAAGAAACATGCCTATGCCTGGATGTCGACGGTTAGATGACTTGAAATTACGACAGCAATAGTGGCGGATGGGATTGTATCACTGTTGGGCGTTTGGCTGGTGATCGAGCGATGGACAGGAATGTCATGTCTGTCCTGTGAGGTTTGTCCTTTGTAGTGGACATGTGGACAAGATAATCCAATAAATTTCAACCAGAGTCTGAGTGTGTTTGTCATGTCCATCAAATCCTTGAACAATGGAGGGAATGACTGTTGGAACTGGAGGACTGGGACCGATACATCACAATACAATGTCGATGGGTCAGCGCCAGGCACAGATGACTAATTGACTGTTGAATTCCAATACATTAGTACCTGACCAAGAGCCAGTGGCATTTTCGGTGCACATACATCCGTTTGCAATTGCGACTTCGGTTTCTACACATACACTTTTGTTTCGAGACCTAGTTTAAGACCCATCAGCGATCTATAATACATTACATTAAGTAAAGCTTTACACGATAGCCCACTAATAAGTAAAGTGCCATCTCTTTCGCTCTTTATCAACTAACCCACAGTGCTCCTCCACGTTTAAAAGCTTAAGGGTCGGCGATCACGTACCCTCCGTGGTTTAAGTATCCCTAACTACGCCCGGTCTTCTAAATAGCGCTATAGTAAGTTACTATATTATATTAAGGCCGGTATCCGCTTTAATCCTTACTATTTAACTTTAATGATAATGAATTATATCTCTTAGGTATTATTCTCGACAGTGGACGCAAGATATATAACGGCCATACTACCGACATCTTCCTATATAAATATTTCCTCTCCTGGCTTGAGACGTTGAGCGTACTAGGCGATGGCTCTAATAATGTTGGCTTCGTCGCTATGTCGAAATCGCTCGTGGTAGAAGACGAAAGTCAAAAATCACTCTTTCTACAAGATGTGCTGTACTTGTACATACAGTATCAAACCAGTCACTTAAAACATTTGCGGTCGGCGCTGCGGTATATTTCTACACAAGACCGCTCCAAACGCGGCAATGTCTGACCACTCCAGCAAATTATCGCCTATTTGACCTCAATCTAGCTTCATTTTCACTCGCCCATATTTGCTTGCTCCTGGACGGATGTGACCGGACAAGTCATGTTGCCAAGTTTTCGACTTCAGACAATCAGGCTCGACGCCATCGTACCAACCCTTCGGCATATTGGTGCCCGGCGACCAACTAACAAATCCTGTCGATCCAGCTGCTTCGGATTGCTGAATGATGTCTAGATGGTAGACAGTATCATCGCAGCGCTGCTTGGGATAGCGGACACCATAGACCACGGGCTGATTTCCTAGCTGATCAGCAAGGTCTTTGCCGGACAATACACATCCATGGCCTCCAAGCTGCTCAACTACAGGTTTGAGGAGATACGCTGCCGATAGATAACTTGTATCTTTGATGACAGCAGAGGACGAGAGATATGTAACACCGATGAGGAGCAGCAATTGAATAATTGGAATACCCACCAAGAGTGTGATCACCCATATCCAATCAACTTTCAAAATCTGAGCCTGTGTGGGTGTATTCCCTGGCACCGCAATCTTTGGACCATAGATGTCGTATGACAGGAGTGCCCCTAAGGTGAACGTTCGAATGACTCTGGCAATGTCTTCAGGAGAGTAGGATTCACCTGCAATGCCGGTCAATCGATAATCGTCAAAGTGTGGGTCATAATCGCGGTGCATTCGTTCCCCAACACTGTAATTAAGTCCCCATCCTATCGCCCCGGCGAAAAGTACAGCCTTCTGATCAGGCAGATCGAGTTGTGGGGAGATATTTGAACGGGAAGTCACTTGTTGAACTGTGCTGTTGCAATCGAAGAGGTAGTCATTCGCTTCATCGTGTTGTAAAACCAAGACCCTAGCTGACCTCGGGCCCCCGAAAGTTTCATTGAATGACGACCAACTCAGAAAGTTCATAGAAAGAGGGACGCCCCAGGTTATGTTTTGCTCTTCCCCGGTGGAGCTGTTGAGGAACGTGATCATACTATCGTATGTGTCTTGCATGGAGTATTCCGTCACAGGGAACTTCTCACAGTTGACAACTGCGTCGACCGTGCGGTTATTTGTACTGTAATCTGTGAGATTGCTGCCGGTACCGTGAACATTGGGACCACCAATTGCTAAAAGAATCCCAGACGAGCCCTCCTTCACTGCACCGATGTATTCTGCATAACTACCTTGCTGCATCTCCGGATTGTAACTACCAAAAAGCAACCAGCCGTAGAAACTCGTCACGTAGTTCTCGGTATAAAGATCGTCAAACGGGAGGAGGTTTACGATCAGCCAGTCTGTATCTCGCATCCACTCACTGACGGTGGGGACCGTGATCGTACTGAAATCTGCAACCCAAACATTGTCGCCTTCAGGGATATCAGTTAGCTCCAGAGATAGGCCAGCTCTAGATCGTGGGACATTAAAACTCGCAATGGGAAGGCAAGCAGCTTACCGCTATAGTCATACACTTTTGATGACGATATCTCAAATGTGACCAAAAGTCCCAGAATCGAGAGAAAAGTCTGAAGGCCGAAATTGAAGGTCAAAAAGACCAAGCAATAAAATTGTATACGCGTTGGAAGGAGACGATTTGGAACTCGGCCTTTCCAAATCAACTGTACGGTTGCCATCAGACTTTCACAGCTCATAACCATATCGAAAACATCAAGTGGAAGATAGCGGGACGAAAGCAATTGCCAGCGATATGACTGGGCAAATTTCTTGAATGCAGCACTTAGAACCATGCCCAGCAAGATATAGATGGCTGTGGTGATGACATTGAAAGTCATCACATCCGTTTTACTGACTTTTGGCTTCCGAGAAAATGTGTAGTAAACCGCTAGCAGGCCAACGCATAGTGACACAGTGAGTGATAGCTGCCATAAATTACTGAAAAAGACTCTCCAACGTTGTCTACTCCGCCTGAAATACCGCTTTGTGCTTGGTCGCTGTAGCTGAAGATTCTGAGTATCAGCTGGTCGGTGCTCCCAAGGGTCAGGGATGGAGATGTGAGACGCAATTGATGAGAGTGAATTAATGCTCTTGGCTAACGAGATCTGGGAGATTCGCCTTTGACCTGTTGATCTTGTGGTCGACAGTGGAATGGTCTCCTTCCAGTGAAGTGGTACATCCGAGCTACGGTTTAACGTTGTCGGGTTTTCAGATGCTGCAAGCAGCAGAGACTCATCCTCCATGGTTGAAGTCGTTGCCTCGAGACACCGGCGTCGTTTCTGTGGATTCTACTGGTACTGTACCCCCAGGAGAAATTGCACATTTGTCTAAAATTGACGACATACACATATCTTTCGTCTATATATGAAAGGGCTGAGGGAAGTGTCAAAGCCAAGCCAAGCTGAAAGGACCTGAACCGGGTTGAACTATCAGTGACCACCTTCGGGCTGGAAATACGAAGTTTTCATCCAATCAACCATAATTTTTATGGTTTATTGCTTTGCAGGTTATCCATGGTGTACAAGCTCACCAAATTTATTCGCCAAAGTTCAGCCACTCTTTGTTCACTTGTCACCGGGCTCTTTCCCATACATGCCGGAATGGCAGATTGTATCAGCTGCGGAGAGTGCAAGAACAATTGATGCAGCAGAGCACGCAGGGCTGTTTCCTCTGCTTGGGGGACGTCCGGCTGACGGCACAGTCCCTCATCCGGCTATATCCCTTTTCACCAACTACCGAAATGCGATGCGGCGAAAAGACTTGTTCTATCGGACATGAGCCACTGGCGTGGTCAAACAGAAGATCATATAGAGTTGGAGGAAAGCAAGGTCCATGTCTGCGTCACCCGGCAGACTTTCCAGAGCAGGAGTGGCTGATATCCGCAATGGCGCTGCCAAGCTGAACACGATACAGAGCAAATAACTCTTGCTGCTATAAGTCAGGCCATAAAGCCACGAGATCCCTATATATTGTTCATCATTAGTACTACTCTATAAATACGACAGAGCTCTTTTTATGCGTTTTGCCTCTTAGTGAAGCTAATATGTCGGCTTTACTTGATATTGTATATCATGGACCCTGGTGGGCCAAAACCTAGGACTCGAAACAAAAGTGTGTGTGCAGAAACCGAGGCCGTAATTGCAAACGGCTGTATACACATAGGCTGCTAGGCTGCGATGAGGGTGATGACTGGCTGGCCATGGACCAACCCCAGCGGGATGTGTATAGGTAGGTACCTGCCTAACCTATAGCATCTACAGGCGATAGTGCAAGGTATTTAGGTACCTGTACCTATAGTATATCCCTAGTTACCTTACTCAGACCACCTAAGAGTTTAGGTACCTAAGTACAGTGCCAGGCAGTGGGCGACTTAGTCATCATAATATTATAGGCGTGAAGATGGAGCGTTACGTGTCCAAAGTAGTGAATCACTGTTAGGACTGTAGCCTAGAGTCCTTAGTACTTAGTGACGCTTTTTGCTTTCTCCAACTGCATCGGTGAGATTCCACGCCCGCTTGGTCTTGGAGTCACTTTATACTTTCGCTCCACTACTTACTCCAGTGCCCAGTGCACTACTCCGTACAGACTCACTACCAGACATCCATAACCTCGCCTTCATTCTCTCCCTCCACCACATTTGTCATCCCCTCAACACCCGCGACAATGTCGGACCCAACCGCGGACTCAGACAAGGTACGCACAAGGCCATTCTTCCAAGATACCCAATCCACTAACTCGAGATCAGATCCGGAACAAGAGACTGGCCAAGTTACAACAGTCCCAGTCCCAGTCCTCATCTCCGCAGCCTCAGGACAGCCTCATCTCTCAAGATGCCGCACCCTCGACATCTTCATCCCCAGCGCCCTCTCCTCTTCCCAGTGCCCCCCAGTCACCACCTCCTTCAGAATCCTCAAGCACGCCCATCAATATCTCCAAACCGTCGTCACCACCTCCCGCCGCTTCGTCGACCAGAATCAGAGTGACCCCATCGACCATCACACCCCAGAAACGGGAGATGAACGGCTTGTCCAGGCCAACCTCAGCCAAACCAAACGAACCCATTGAGCAGTGGGAGGATCGCACTCTCCGCAATCTATTTAGAATAACTTTCGACCCTGCTCAGACCAAGGATCAACACGGCCAAGTCCTCCATCAGGTCCCCCAGCTAAGAGACGAACTCGAGTCCGAGGGTCAACCCGTGTTGCTGAACAATGCCATTCTCGAACAAGCCATCATGGAGGCCGGTGCTTCCCTCTCCCAACGTATCACTCCCCACGATTGGCTCTTTGGCTCATGGAAGAGAGTCACCCGAATCTCAAAGGCCGTCAAGGACCGCACGCCCGAGAACCCAAAGTGGACCATCCTCCTCGAGGCGCGGCGACTGTGCATGAATTGGTGCATCCTCTCAATCACAACCCCAGACATCTTTGATGCCACCTACGACGGCATCGATGCCCTCGCAGACCATCTATTAGCAGATCCCGACGATGATCGAGGGGTCTGCCAGGATTTTGTGAACGAAGCCCTCACCCGGTTTGAGGAGGATGAGTCGATCAAGCTCGCCTTTGTCGCCGCTGTTGAGAATCTCAGCCGTCGACTAGCAAAGGAAAACATGAACACAGCGTATCAGCCTTATGTCGGTATGCTACGTCACTTGATTCGCTACAAACCAATCGCAGTTGCAATCACGGAGTCAGTAATTTTTGTCGATGCCACAGTCCCGGCCGCCCAGCTCGAGGTTGCCTCTCTTCTCGGTCCATATTTTCAACTCTCGCCCTTGCAAGCCGAAGTCACATCATCCTTCTTCTACGAACCCAAGACCATGGATCCTGGTAAAGTCAGAACAAACCAAACATCCTTGCAGATGACTTTGAGAACTCATCAAGATGAGTTATTCGATATCGTCAACACCCTGGTCCGTGCCTCTCCAGAGGCTCGCGAACGAGTTCTAGACTGGTTTGCTCTCGTCGTCAATTCAAACCATAAGAGAAGAGCAATGCGCGTCGACAAGAAAACTGTCTCCAGCGACGGCTTCATGATCAACGTCAACGTCGTCCTGGACAAGTTGTGCGAGCCTTTTATTGATGCCCGATTCTCCAAAATCGACCGTGTCGATATTGACTATCTCCGAAGAAACCCCCGAGTCGACATCAAGGATGAGACCAAAATCAATGTCGATCAAGACCAGTCGGATTCCTATTTCAAAACCCAGGCGCCAGGCACAAATAACTTCATTTCGGAACTCTTTTTCCTCACGGTCGCGTCACATCAATACGGCATCGAAGCCGCTCGAAATATTCTTAAGGAGATGGATCGAGAACTGAAACACATGGCCAAGCAGCTTGAACAGTTTGAAGGCGAACGCCACAAGTATATCAACAACCCTGTCCAGTTGGAAATGTATGACAAGGCACTTAAGAAGTATCGAGATCAGCACGACAAAGGACTCTCGTACAAATACGCGGTCCAAGGCGTGCTTCTCGACGAAATCACACAGACTCGCTCCATGCAATTCATGCGTTTTGTCACCGTCTGGTTGCTTCGACAAGTATCTCCCAACCGACAATTTCCCAATGAGAAACTGACGCTTCCTCTGTCGCCTGAACAACCAGACGCCTTCAAAAATCTTCCCGAGTATTTTCTCGAAATCATCAGCGGCAACTTTGGCTATATCATGTATAACATGCCACAAGTCATTTCGCCCACTCAGTCTGACGAGCTCATCATGCTTTGCATTGCATTCTTGAGAAACGCCGAGTATATCAAGAATCCATACCTGAAAGCCTCGCTTGTGACCATTCTCTTCAGAGGGACCTGGTCATGGCGGCAGGGCGGCCGAGGAATTCTGGCAGACCAATACAACAGCATGCCCTTTGCCACAGAAAATCTGTTGCATTCCTTGATGCAGTTCTTCATCGAAGCTGAATTCATGGGAGGTCATGGACAGTTTTTCGACAAGTTTAACGTGCGATTTGAGATTTTCCAAATTATCAAATGTATTTGGTCGAACCCGGTCTACCGAGACAACCTACTGCGAGAAGCAAAGGTCAACATTGAGTTTTTCGTCAGATTTGTCAATCTGCTTCTCAACGATGTCACATTTGTCCTCGACGAATCGTTCACGTCGTTCCACCAGATCTACGACATCTCCCACGAGCTGGCACTGGCGGGAACTTCGTTGAACGAACAGCAACGACAAGAGAAGGAAGAAGCGCTCGAATCTGCAAAGGGGAAGGCGAAGTCGTACATGCAGCTGACCAATGAAACGGTGGGCATGGTGAAACTCTTCACCGAGGCGCTCGCAGATGCCTTTACCATGCCAGAAATTGTCCAACGTCTTGCAGACATGTTGGACTATAATCTCGATGCGATGGTGCCACCCAAGAGCACATCCCTTAAGGTGGATAACCTTCAAGAATACAACTTCAATCCTAAGGCACTCTTGTCTGAGATTGTTGATGTGTATTTAAATCTAAGTGAAAAGGAGAATTTCATCCTGGCAGTCGCGCGCGATGGCCGATCCTACAAGTCGGAGAACTTTGTGGCCGCGGGCAACATTCTCAAGAAATTTGTGCTCAAGTCACCACAGCAACTTCAACGCTGGAGCCGGCTGATTGAGAGAATTGCAAAGGCCAAGAGTGAAGACGAAGCGGCTGATGCAGATCTGGGTGAAATTCCCGACGAGTTCTTGGATCCTCTGATGTACACGTTGATGGAGGATCCCGTGTTGTTGCCCATCTCCAAAATCGTGATCGATCGGTCGACAATCAGAAGTCATCTGTTGAGCGATCCGCACGACCCCTTCAATCGAGTGCCTTTGAAGATTGAAGATGTCATTCCAGGTAAGTCCAACAAGACACATGTTTGCCCCAATCTCTCTCGGAAAGTTGAAGCTAACGACTCCCTCTTTTAGCGACCGACGTCAAGGAGAAGATTGCCAAGTTCAAGGAGGAGAAAATTGGGAATCGACGCCGGGATTTTGTGGAGACGGTGAAGACCGAAGACAGTGCAGCTGGGGTCGAAAGTAGCACGACAGCGCCAGATGATGCGATGGACACGAGTCAGTGAAGGGACGCTTCACGGGAAAGCGAGCGGTTGAGAGTTGGTCGCATTTTGGATGATTCGGCAGAGCCTACAGCATTAGCTCGGTGAAGTTGATACACATGGGGGCCATATTGTTTTGGTGGTCTCCCCAAGCGACCAATTTTGGGCCAAGGTGTACCATTAGTACCCGGCCAGTCGCAAAGACTGGATGCATTGACCTGGTTTAGATTGGTCATGGGCATCGGATGATAGAGTATCATGACTCGATTAGATTCACACGAAACACGAACAAATACCGAGGTTCGAGACAGGTACAGTGATCCAGCCGAGTTGACAGTCCACATAAAGGACGGTATGAACAAGTTGAGATCTATAGCCTTTTCCTCAGGAACAGGTTTCAATCGTCACTGTCCGTTCTGTCCCTTTTTCCTGTCCAAAATGGCTCAAAAAACGAGAAAAAACGAGTAAAACGCCCCCTGGTTGCGTCAAGATACAGCTCTGGGCGTGAAATGGTGGTCTCGGCTATACCCGAGGGTTCCGTAAGTTCCAGGAGGCTTGATGTCGCTGGGATTCGCGTTCTGAGACTAATGGACTCGTTCTGTTCGGTGGAGGCTTGTCGGCATTGCCATCTCGCATGCGAGCACTGTGTGACTTTGGACCGTACGTGTCGAGGTGAGCGTAGTAAAGCCAAAGGACGATACAACTAGTGGAGCTTCAGTCAGTAGGGTCCCATCCCAGAAGAAGGCTGCGACAAAAATCACAAGGATCAGACAGGGCGGAGGAGTACTGACCTCGCAATGGCGCCGACCAGACCAATCCACAGGCATACAACGCTAGCAATGGCTTTGCCATTGTCACGATAGCGAAGAGGTGGACTTAGGTGCTGCAGGGCGATTTGTCGAGCATCTTCTGAGTCGGCGGAAATCCAAGCCTCGCCAGTGGCGACGATGACAGTCAATGCAATGGCAGAGGCCAAAGTCATGATGGTCACGACTATGGCACTGATCCGCCATGACCAGCGAATGTTCTTGGGCTCATAGCGTTCGGGAAAGAAGAGATCGAAGAAGAAAGCGGCTCCGAAGATGGTGGCGACAGCGACGCCAACAAAGATATTATACGAAGCAATGCCAACAAAGTCGTTGTTGTGGACTCTGGCAGAGGAATGGAGTCTCTCGATTTCCGACTGTTGATCGACGTAGTCTTGAAAGCGGGAGGTTAGCGAAGTGGTCTGATTGAGAGGTTAGGGGCTTGGAAATAGTGACCTGATAGTGCAGCTGTTCCAACTGATTCCGACACAACACAAAACAGCATAGCAATCTGGTAGACAACGAATTTTGTGCGTCGCAAGTGGTAGTCTTTGTTACCAAACATATATGAGCTTTTGAATTTGCTCCATTTCATATCCCTGAGGTCAAGACCCCAAATGACAGCCATGACAGGTTAGGATGTGTGGTGGTACGATCACAGTCACAGCAGCAGGTATAAATAATTAGAGTATGACACAGAAACAAACTGCTATAGGATGAAAAAACGAACAAAGACAGATGGCAGACTTTAGGACGAGGAAGAGGGCGGGGGTAGAAGATATATTGATGGACTGGAAAGCATGCATCTGTGTTCATAAGCAACGTTTATGGGGGAACGGGAATCAGGAAAGACATTTACGAGATCTGATGACCCGGAGTGGCAAGGGAAAGAAGATCGGGGCTGCTTGTGGTTAATTGACTCACTGATTTGACGACTGGTTGAGTCTGGCGTCGTGAGGATGGAAGATGATTGAGTGGTCTGTTGTAGCCTTGCACATGATCCAACCTTGTCGAGATGCCGGACCATCCGCGAGAAAAGAAGCCTGGGGTCATTGGCTGACGAGGGGTCGAGGCTTGAGCCCAGACTGCGAAGCAATGGATCAGTCAGCTTGTCTGAGCTTGTCAGCTCGAGATGAGCCGTTATGAGGGTCGATGAGCCTCATTATTGTTGGTTGATGAGAAGTTAGAAAGTGACAAAGATTGACGAGATGCAGAGGTTGGGATGCCGGATGACGTCGTGGTTGCCTGGAATGCGGATTTGTCGGGTGTGAGACGAGGAAGGCACGAACCGTCCCCAGTACCTATAGGCTATAGTAAGGAAGGTGCTCTGGTGTGTCATGATTCCCTGAAGGAAGGTGCCGCGGAGCATCCAGGCAATTAATTGTAGGGAAGGAACACAAGTCAAGAGTATCAGGGACGTACCTGCCGCTTCTGAGTTGCTCCAGTATAATCCTCACCACATCAACTTTTTCATATCAACCTCCATCTTCTATTATTATCTTGCATATTTCAATCCACTTTTAATACTCTACCAATCCTTGTACAGTAACAGACATGCTCGACACCGTGGTTGGACCGTCGCCTCTTACTCCAGTCCACTCTTCAATTTCCTGGGAATGCCTTCGGTATTCCACGCGAGGCCATGTGGTGTCGAGTCTTACATCCATGTCACATCTTGCTTCCTCGAAGATGTGCCGGAACATGCCTGCCGACCCCATAGTCTTCTTCTCCAGTTGCTAAAGATCGAGTTTGCTCGCTTACTTTGCATCCTCGGATCAGCGGGTCTTGAGATCTAACATGTCTGCTCCAACAACGGTGAGACCAATTGCTAACAAACATCCTGTTGAATCACCAGCTTCACCCCGCGAAGACAGATTTCGTAACCTCCATACCTGAAATCAAGACAACAGTTCAACGCGACAGTCCTCGTCCTTTCTTGGCCCCCCTCCTTTTCTTGGGACCTGGCGCAGTCTCGCACATTGTAGGTCAATAGCCGGCTTGGGTCTTGTGACATTCGGTCATGGCAATCTCATATCACCTGCTCAGGCTCAGATAGTGGGCCAGATTGTGATAATGCGATATCAATGCGATAACAACCTACGAACTGCGACTACATCTCCTATATTCGCTCTCGCATTCAACACCACCCATGCCACTTCATTCCTGTCGACATCCATGCGTCGTTGGAGGCTTGCACAAGGTTTAATTCCAATCTGGCCGAGACATCATATCTTCTGACCCCAAAAAGTTAATCGGATCAAGTTCGCAACCCCAGGAAGCTATCTAATCATGGTATCTCAATCAACATGGTCCTTTTGATAATGATTCTTCGGGCCTCGATTGAGTGGCCTATGGTCTCAAATCTGACATGGACAAGTCCGCTATCAAGGACAAGAAACTCTCGCCCCGCAGTGGACATATCCCCTCCTTGTCCAAAGCAACCCAAGGAAGCCCAGCCGCAGCTAAGGTCTATCCAAGCTCCACTTGCCATGGATGACCTGCCAAACAAAGTCTAGCTTAGCTGTCTTTGGCCATCCTTTCCCGTTATCTACTGGGCATCTACAGTCTTGCTCTCATCATAACCAATACCAGATCATTTCCTTCATAGACCCTGTCCGGGTTAGGCGACTTCCATACCAAGTCAAAATGTATATGACGATAAGGGAAATTTGGCCTATCGCAGACTCGCAGACAATACCTCGGATTCGCCCCTATACACCCTCACCAAGCCTCTCTCTTAACGCCCACATGCGTCCTACAGAAACACGTGGCCACGCTGCAGAATGCCTGCGACCACGGTTCCACCGTCGCGTGAGGTCGATCTTTCCCCGTCTGACAGGCCTAGATGCCACGGATTCGCCTCCAATTCAGTGCTTGGCCAGATAAGATGGAAGTTGTCGATCATACGTTGGACAAATGGAATTATCGCACAAAACTTTGCCCTGCGCGTCTGTGCTAGAGTCTAATCGCATCTATGGAGTATATCTACAATAAGTCAGAGTTTCCTGGCACTTCAAACTTCGTCTTCATTCTGCTCAACGACATCCCTTCCCCTGCTTCTGTTACTTCCCTACCAAAATGAAGCTTCAGATGCCCAAGTTCGAGAGGCCTCACCTCAGGGTTGAGCAGCCTCTTTCTGTATTTGCAGAAGGTAACGAAAGATGGTATGTTGCATCTGCCAGACTCACGCGGATCCATCATCCGCCGCAGCCACTTTGGCTGTATCTCATTTCTTTGTCGCACTCAGGCTGACTCGAAATGCAAATACAGGACCAACAAAGATCTTGATCCTGTACCTCCAAATAGGAGAAAGTGGGGTGTAATGTCCTTCGTCAGTTACTGGGTCTCCGACGCTGTATGAAATACCCTCCACTTTTGAAGAGAACCGTCAATTTCGTCTAACAAGCGCCCAGTTCAACGCAGCCACCTGGCAGTTCGCCGCAGGTATCATCGCCGTTGGTCTCACCTGGCGTGAAAGTTTGGGAATCGTTGCCCTTGCCTTCTTCATCATTTCTTGGGTCATTGCCTTTAACGGTGCCATCGGCGTCCTCCACCATATTCCCTTCCCCGTCATCGCACGAGCCAGCTGGGGCTTCTGGGGTTCCTACGTCGCCATCATCTCTCGCGTTATCCTCGCTATCTTCTGGTTTGCCATTCAGACCATGAACGGTGCCAACACGGTCCGAGTCATGATCGGCGCCATCTGGCCTTCATTCCTGACCTTGCCAAACCACATCCCCGAATCTCAAGGCATTGATGACGCCACTATGATTTCCTTCTTCCTCTTTTGGCTCGGTCAGCTTCCCTTCCTGTTCATGCACCCCAACCAACTGCGATACCTTTTCATGGCCAAGACTCTGATTGTGCCCGCCGCCTGGGTGGCCATCATGATCTGGGGTCTCGCCACCAGTGGAGGCGGTCGCATCTTTGATCAGACTCCCACCATCTCCGGCAATGCGTACAGTTGGGCTTTCCTCTCCTCATTGACCTCGGTCATTGGAAACTACGCCACTCTGTCCGTTAACCAGTCGGATTTCTCGCGTTTCTCTCGCGTGTCTGTCAAGTGGCAATGCATCTACGTCCCAATGCTTCCCGCATTCTTCACTTTCATCGCCTTTATTGGTATTGCTGCCTCGTCCGCCGGTGGCTATCACTATGGCGTCATTGAATGGGATCCCATGGCCTTGGTCGGTCACTGGGACAACCGAGCTGCGAAATTCTTCGCCGCCTTTTCATTTGCCCTGGCTGCTCTTGGTGTCAACATCTCAGCCAACAGTCTTTCCGCCGCTCATGACCTGATGGCCCTCGCACCCCGATTCATCAACATCCGACGAGGACAGCTCATCTGCGCTGTCGTCTGCTGGGCTTTGGTCCCCTGGAAGATTCTGGCCTCGGCCGGCAACTTCCTCAACTTCATGGCCGCCTACGCCGTCTTCCTAGGCCCCATTGCCGCCATCATGTTGTTCGACTTTTGGGTCGTCCACCAGCGCAAGTACGACACAGTCGAACTGTACAAGCCCCACGGCATCTACCGATATACAGGTGGCGTCAACTGGCGAGCCATTGTGGCTTTCCTTTCGGGGGTTGCGCCCAGCTTGCCCGGCTTCATCAACGGCATTAACAACAACATTGATGTTGGTGTGGGAATTCATCCCTACCAATTTGGTTGGCTACTCGGCTTCACCGGCACCGCTGCTGTCTACACATTCCTGTCTCTGGTCTTCCCTGCACGAGAGACCTTTATCGAGCGCGCCGTGCGTCCAGATGAGATCTTTGCTCAACGAGGTGAGATTATGGATGGCTCGCCAGAGGAGACCGGAAGCGCTGGTGGTATTAAGTCTGACGGCCCCGTCGAAGCCCCTTTGGAAAAGAAGGGTTTCAGACAGAAAATGGAGAAGTTCATCTAGATAAGATGTGTGAGAAATGCGGACAGCACGAGCAATCCTCCCCGTAGGCCGTGGTGTGTTAGCTTACTAAGTAGAATACTATTGTAATATGGCCAGATATATGCATCTCTACGTCATCCGCGTGCAATCAAATCATATATCACTCATGAGCATCCCAGTTCGAAGTGTTGTAATCGACCATTGAGAGCGTCTATTGATATAAAGGCAAAGGCTTTTTCATTTCTTCTCATGGCATCTATCTTCACGTGCTTTGCGCTTTCCTGTCGATCTATATGAGTCCACACTTATGCACCACGCACCATCTCATCCACAATACCCTAGAGTTATGTGCAGGACACCAAGTGATGACACCAAGGTGCTCATGTATGACATGACGGAGACCTATCATGGGCCGATTCACCAAGTTCCAGGGGTCATCTTCAAAGGCGAGGAGTCGAGGAGAGATGTTGTCGGTATACCATTTCGACACGCTGGATCGATCATCTATTTGAGCACCTTCTCGACACATTCAATACTAGCGACTCGTTAGCAAACCCGTAATTCAAGGCATAAAGACCGGGGATAAAAACAAACCCATGCTTCTCCTTGAGTTCTACCATCAACGACTTGTTGAACTCAGGAGTCACTGGTGCTAGGATACCCTTTTCAGTAATAGTTCCGTCCAGGACTTGCTTGACAGCTGTGAAATTGGTTAGTGAGAACAGCCAAAAACTCCAAATCGCGTGGAGGCCGATGCTGAGAGTATCTTACCAACACCGCAGGGAATGCCAACCAACTTGGCCATAGCCGAGTAACCACCGGATCCGATTGGGGCGCCGTATTCGCAAAGGGTCGATGTGATCACGTCCTTGCTGCCGTCCTTGTTCTCAACTTCGAAGTAATGTTGAAGGAACTGGAAGGGACTTGGTTAGTATATTGTTGTAGTTGTGGCATATGGATGCCTGGTATGACATACCACTAGATCGCGCTCGCCTTCCTCATACGCCATCTTCTCCTCGAGAGTCGCGCAGAGAGTATCCAAGGGGTTACCTCTTGGTGTGATTTTGTCATCTGAGAAGATTCCGACTGGAGAGACACATCCACGTTAGCATTCGCGTCTAGCCGATGGATTTCCGCATCTCCGAGTACTTACTCCACTTGAGACCCGCCACCAATTGATTCTTCTGGTCGGTATCCTTGAAAGTGGTCTTTGACGAAACAGCCCACAGCAAGTCAGTCTCACTGGATGAAGTGGCACCAAGGATCTTGGTGGTTGCTTCTCTCCATGAGATTGGCTCTTTTAAGAAATCCTTCTCCTGATCATCCAGGAAGCCGATGTCCACGAGGACCTTGATGAACTCGGGGAAACCGTTGTAGCGGAGCGTTCCTCGGATCACGGTCTTCGCCTCGGGGATGTTGTAACTATTAAAAACTTAGCGGATATGTCCGATTCTCAGTCAACTGGCTCTCTTCAGTTCTTCTGCTTACCGCTGTAGATATCCTGTGCTGTCACGGTTGCCGTAGGCGACAAAGTTGAATCCCAGGAAGCCGGTGTGATAGGGTTTGGCCGTGCCCATGAGCTCAAGACCGCTCACGTTGACCTCCTTGCCGTTCTCAATGTACTTGGCATTGTTCTTCAGGGCCAACAGAACACCTCGGCTGCTCCAGCTGAACTTGTAACCTTGATATTTGATCAGTGGCTGTAGAGGCGTGGGGCGAGAATAAATGTACCTAAAGGATTATCCGAGTCTTGACAGATCAGTTAGCATGAGTCATATATGGGGCGGCGACATTGTCTTACTCTCAGGTGCAGGCAGACCGCCACAGAAGCTCTTGAATGTGAGAACCTTTCCTCCTTGCTTGTGCACGCGGTCAATTGCAGACACGGCGTACAGGTGGTCGATACTTAAGTAGTTGGTCAGCGGAGAGATATATTGATGGAAGAGGTCGGTCGCATGGCATACCCAGGGTCAAGCTAGAGCAATCCTTCGGTCAGCACAGTAAAGGGCAATGTTGGTAACAGTATCAACATACTCCGATCTCATTAACAACCGTGATACCAGCCGCCTTGACCTCAGCATCGAGTTCCTCCATGGCTGGAGAGACATATGAAGTGGTGACAACATTTTTCTTGGCCTTGATGGCGGCCTTGATCACCGCTGCGTGGAATGTGTAGGGGATCAGGGAGATGGTGACATCGTGCTTGGAGACTGCCTCCTCGAGAGCAGAGGTGCTGTTGACATCGAGGCTAATGGCGGTGGTATTGGGAAAGTTTCCTGCAAGTTTCTGGGCCGATGACAAGGTGCGGCATGCGACGGTGACGTGGATGCCAGAATTGGCCAGAAGCTCGACCGTGGGGGTGGCAACGAAGCCGGAGCCGAGGAGTAGTGCTGTTTGTGGCATGATGTGTGACTATGTAGAGGTATTGAAGGTCAGAAATGTCGCAGATAGAACCACTGAGTGACCTTTTGTTGTCGATGACTCCCCATTGAATTGGGGAGGGGAGAAATTTCGGGTTGACGCCACAGGTGGGAAATTTTAAGGTTTGTGTGCCCCGCGTCATGGTGGGGATGTTGCGCCACATATGAATCTCATCGCCGAGGGCAGGTACGACCATGGGAGTGGCGTCCGTGCCTGCCTCGATTACCTAAGGGTATTGGTCCTTTTGGGTAGGTGCGTGGCTGCGTTGGGATGTACAATATCAGGAGGCGATAGAACAGGATTATTGGATCCATTTGCTAGGATGTATGTATGTATGAACTCCATATGGGTAAAAAAGCCGAAGCATTCCCACACTGTACCTCTCTTGCCGATAGATCATGACCAAAGTAACACACCTATACCCCTAGAACTCGGCCACCCCCATGCGCTCATCCCAGCCTGATCCATGGGATATGATGATTGGGCCACTGGATAGGCACTGAGATCGGGCACGGTTTGAAGTTCAACTGGCCTGACGCTGCGCAGGGCATGTTCATCGATACCACGGTTTGTCGTTGGTATGAAGCGACATTAACCGTGACGGACAGAGACTTCCCAATAAAGGGTAGAGTTGAAATCTGGTCCTTGAGTTGTGAGAACTGGGAGCTGAATTCCTTCAATGGCGCCTCCACTTGTGTTCGAATGAGATCCTGAATCTGAGCCATTCCCTCGCGGACCTTTCCTGTTGAATCTGTCGTAAACTCAAGAGGATTGCCCTCCCAGTCACCCTCCAAAAGCTCCGACACCAGTTTGATGGCATCGCCACTGATCGTCCCAAAAGATTGCAAGAATTCCAATATTGCCTGCGAGTCCTGACCAAGGCTTTCAGCCAGCTTGGGAAGCTGCTGCACAATCTTGAATGTTTGGATGACGTCTCCAATCCGGTTGAAGGTGCCCACGATTTTGGCGAGTGTATCAGGCTCTTCCACAAGCCCCGCGGATTCAACAGTCCCTTCTATCAGGGTGATCAAGTTCTCAACGCTCTGTGTGACTGATGCCGCAGCCTGGCCGACTTGGGTTTTTCCGGTGATGGTGTTGAGCATTGTGTCAACTGTACTCACCCATCAGTTTTCCAGGTCAAGTTATTCACTGTCAACCAAGGAGTTTCTCACCTTTGTCCATGAACGCCGTTATGACAGGACCAGAGCATGCGCTATCTTTGCACATTTGGTCTTCAATCGTCTTGATCTTGCTCGGAAGGCTTTGTGCATTCGTGATGATCTCTTCACCTGCCAACCCGATCGCTTTGATCGACTCATCAGTAGACTTGAGAACTGTTTTCCATCCCGACAGCGCCGTTTCCAATTGGGCCAGCATGTACTCTCTAGACATTTCCAGGTATTCAGTAAAGACACCCGGATCACATTTACCGAAAGCACATGCGACGATGGCGCCCACCAGTTTACTGTACATTTCAAGGTCGATCTGCAGATAAATTGCTTGAGTATTTGAAGTCCAGGTCAACCATAGAAACCTACCTCGGCCGCCATCAAAAGAATGCTACCTTTGCTCTCGTCCATGAGGTGTTGGACGACTTGCGCACCGTTGTTGCTGATCTGGAAATTTTGCTCGAGGACGCACTTGTGATTAAGTTGCATCAGGATGAAGGGCCATGGTTCCCAAAAGAAAAGATCGAGGGCTTACCACTTCTAATTTGGCCAGCAAATTGATGAGCTCGGAAGTCCCGCCGTTTAGACCTGTCCCGTCTTGTACGCTGTTGTAGGCACTGTCTGCAACAAGCTTGAACAACTGTGGCAAACAAGTGCACATTGCATTGATTGCAGGAATAACGTCAAAGTCCATAACGTTCATAGCACTTCGAACGGCACTACAGATGTTTGTTGGCTCGATTTTGGCCGACACACAAGTAGCCTTCCAGGTTTTGGGAACCGTTCCTGCACAGATTTAGTCTCTCGCCTTTGGGTGATGTTGTGGTTACCAACCTGGGACGCATATCTTGTAGCCGAAGACTTTCGTTTTCGTCTTGCATGGAACCACCTATGCCACGGTTAACTAGGTACTGCCATCAATGCTGTCTGGACATATTCACTTCAAAGCCTTGGGTGCTGCAGTCCTGCGTCTCGACTTTGGGAACCGGTACCTCAACTTTGCAATCGGCAATGCCAGTAAGACTTTGGCAAATTTGATCGAAATTTACCTGTGCTCTGAGTCCATCTGGATACAATAGGAATAAACCGAGGAAGTAAGTAGTCAGGTGCCTCATACTGCCTATTGTCAGAAGAGCTTGATTGATGCAGGCCAAACAAGAAGAAACTCGCTGTTCTCAGGTCTATATCCCTTACAGGGCCCAGCATGCTCGTCAGGTTTTCGGGCCTACATCTAATGTCTGATTCCTAAAGGGCATCATCCAACGCCACCCGTCAAGCATCTTTCTTCAGATGAGGCAGAGGTCAAGTGGTCTGGATTGTGGGTGTGCCATCAACTCGTTATGTTGAGCCAATAGAGACCGGAACATCTCGCTTGAAGACCTCAGTCCAGCCAGCCATATCTGATGAGAATAGTCGCTTGATCGGTCTGGCGAGGCGAGAAGACGGTGCCAAAGAGCTGGGGCACTTTCACTATTGGATCAGCCTTATCGAAAGGGACAAATGTTAAGCGAGTCATCCGGGGGTCTTTAAAAAGCTTTTGCTAGGATCTCTTGTTGAAGTTAGACGGTCTCTTGGCAGCTGAGGACTTTGACATTCGCGCTGTTATAAACGGGCATTGGCAGAGGTCGCCGCCCGCAGGAGCTCTGTTAGACCCAGTAGACTAGGTAAGATATAGACCTTGACATCCCAAGCGTTGCCTAGAAAAGACTTAGCTGCTTATGCTGAGCAACCATGATCGTCTGGTCGGTCAGAGTGATATACGAAGGACCAGCTTCATCAACCGACGCCATTCCAGATCACGACCAGACACTACTCACTAACAAGGTCGAAAGGGTAATGAAGTTTATGTAGCAGTGGGGTCTCCGGGTTTCCCAGCTACAAAAGTAAATATGAACCTCAAATAAGCCCCGAATCATCGATGGTCACGACCTTGCTCTCCCAATTTTCCATCAGGCTGATTTACTCCAAAAAGTTGGCTTGCTACCAGATCCAGCATGAAGATGTCGAAAAACTCGACCTTGCATTCGATTCTTTACCACACGACTCGCCTTTGCCAATACTTGTCCGCCATATCAGTTGCCGGGATCATTTCGTACTTCATATACATTCTTAAAAGGAACTCGTACCCATCGCCCTGGGCCTTTATCTTTGTACGTGACAATTAATTCAGGCACCGCAAATACTGACCTACCATGGCAGCTGCTATCAGTAGCGTCCACTGAGATCGTATGGCTCATATTGACAACTTTCCGAGCGGTGTCTCGCATGCTTGGAAGTATAGTGAGCACGATAATTGACTTGTTGATTGCGCTGGCCTGGCTTAGTTCGACAGTTCTGGTTGGAATACGGATACAATATGCCGTCAACACCAAATGCACAGTGGAATTCTGGATGAATACCTACGGGGTGTTCATCTGCAGGCTGTACAAAGGTCTTTTCGCAAGTACCATTATTGCAGTGTAAATAAAATGCTACCCACACTCGCGGTCCCATGCTGACTAGTTGAACAGCTTTAGCGCGTTCGTGGCCATCCTCGTCGATGTCAAGTATCGCAAGAATCGGAAGTCGCGAGACGATATAGGATATCGCAAAGCAAAGACAGTCGATGACACCTGGGTCCCAGGAATGCGTGGAGTCTCCGACGCCGGCACTCTGCTATACGATGGGTCCTACAAAAGCCCCGCTGCTGATGTGATACCGTCAAGCCGCAGGACTTCGCAGGACAATTTAGTGACCCGGCCTGAGACCTCGTTGGAATCGAGAAACTGAAGTTCGATTAGCCTGAGACCTGCATGGACAAGAACTTGCAGCGATCAAGTCTGGCCAGTTCATGAAGATGAGTAGCAGCGACAGCAGTGATAGCTCTTAAGTAAGGCGAAGGAGATAGGAAGAAGTGAAGGAGATCCAGGCTGTCACTTTACATGATGCCCAAGACCCAATATAGTTTAGCTCGATGGTGTCCCGAAGTAGTTTAGCTTAATACCTCTCCGCGCATCCTAAGTCTTGGCGCTGTTGGAGAAATTTTTGGGAAACATGAATTTCTGGGTCTTGACTACAAAAGTCACTTTGCACAGCATCTTACCGACAGTTGCGCTTTTATCATAGCCCAGGAGGCTGGACACAAAGACCAGACCCATCATCCTACCCAATTGTCACAATGGCAGGCAAGAAGAGAAAAGGTAGACTCCATCTTAACCATCACATCTATCATTACAGCACTGACATATGTTCTAGAATCCTCGGATGTGGTCGATGTCCCATCGAAGAAGAGCAAGAAGCACAAGGTTGCGGAAGATGGCCAAACTCCCAAACCCCAAGCATCTGAAACCGTGCCAGTTCCCGAGTCGGCTCCCACTGCAGCGACTACATCCAAGAAGTCTCGCAAGAGAGCCGTCGACTTCATGAACGATGAAGACAGCCAGCCTGCCGATACCAACCCTCCCGCCAGCAAGTCGAAGTCAAAGTCAAAGTCAAAGACCACGATCCCCGAGCCCACTGATACCGAGCCTCCTGAGGATGCAGAGCCTGCTACAAAGAAATCCAAGAAGTCCAAAAAGAAGTCACACAGCAAAGATGAGCTTCTCTCCGCCGACGGCGTCAACGGAGTTCTCGAGCACCCTGGCCATGAAGACTTAGAGACTGCCACTTCTCACAACCCAATCACAACATCTTTGCAAGCTGAGGCAGAAAGAACAGTTGATCATGAGCTTGCCGAGGAGTTCGGTGGTGTCTCGGATGACGAACACGGCTCCGTTGAAGCAGACGACAATGCTGCAGCTCTCCTCGCCGGCTTTGACAGCGATTCTGAAGACAATCAAGCAGACGAGCAATTTGATGCCACCGACCTGAAGCTAACCAAGAAGAAGAAGAAGCAAGTCAAGAAGGAGCTGGCCGCTATCAAAGAAGCATCCGCCAAAGACGGACCTGGAGTCGTTTACGTCGGCCGCATTCCCCATGGCTTCTACGAATCTCAGATGAGAGAGTACTTTGCACAATTCGGCGACATCACCAAACTGCGACTTTCGAGAAACCGCCGCACCGGTGCTTCCAAGCATTTTGCTTTCATCGAGTTCTCGTCTCGTGAAGTGGCCAAGATCGTCGCAGCTACCATGGACAATTACATGCTCTTCGGCCATCTGCTCAAATGCAAGTATGCCGAGCCGGATTCGCTGCACCCTGATGTGTGGAAAGGAGCGAACAAGAAATACCGCAAGGTGCCTCACGACAAGCTGGAACGTGAAAAACTGGCGGCTCCAAAGTCCGAGGTTGAATGGCAGAAGAAAATCGACAAGGAACAAAAGAGACGTGACAAGAAGGCAGCCAAGCTTGCCAAACTTGGGCTCGAGATGCCTCATTCGACTCTCGCCAGCCCCTCAGATGCTCTCAAACAGCAACAGCTTCTTGACCAAGAGATGGCCGACGGTGCGGAAGTAATTCGCGACGCAGAACCAGCTGGCCTCCTCGAACCTCCCAACGGTCTCCCTAAGGACGAGGTCGTCATCAAGAAGTCTGCTGAGGACGAAACTGTCAAAGACAGCAAGAAGTCCAAGAAATCCAAGTCAAAGAAGAACAAGTCCGATTCTGAACCCGCACCTCCCGTTGCGAAACCAGTCGAGGAAGTTGCTGTAGCCGAACCTGCACCAGAAGAGGTCTCGACCGCAGAAGCCGCCGAAGAATTTATTTCCCTCGCCGCCGATGATGATGAGGACGACGACGACGAAGACGACGACGCCGCCGCCGCCACCAATGGTCCCAAGGGCAAGTCAAAGAAGCCATATGTTAAGAAAGCCAAGAAGGAGAAGAAAGTGAAGAAACTTGCCGGCAAGGTGAAAGGACCAAAGTCTGCTATTCTTCCAAAGGAAAAACCTACTGAGACCAAAACTACCGGCCGGTTTCCTGGGGTGCCATTGTTGGGAAAGGACAAATACGACAAGGCGAAACGACAGGCGTACAAAGAGGCCAAGGCTCAGGTTCAAACTCCTGCAACGGGTCGTAAATCAAGTCGTCGAACCAGTGGTTCGAAATGATTGCGATTGGAGAGGAATCGACTCTGCATTTGAGTCTGACATGACTCTCATAAGTCATTCTCGTTTCTCCGTTGGCTCAGGGCGGAATGTTTCGACTTGTTCAACGAACATGGACAAATTCGGGTGCTTGCACAGGAGACATCGAACGGTGTCTGTAAGGCTAGGCTGTCTATTCATCTGTTTGATTCTGGTCCTAACCCTGATCATCGACTTCGCCGTTCTAGCGAACGCAAGCCTAGTGATGAGTTTTTCACAAGAACACGTCACTTGTGCGGGACCCCTAGGCAATGCTATCCTTCATTAGGCTAGACAACATAACTTCATACGTCTTTCGCTCCATGTCATACTCTGCTTGTGATCCCAACGCTTAACCACTGTGGTTCGTTTGTTGGAGTCCTGGTAACTCAATGTCCCAATACGCCCTGTAAGCATTGTGCGATTCAAGCTCTATATCCTTGGTCCCAATTGGAAGTAGGCGTACCACCGCTAAGTGAGAGACGTAGGCATATCATGCCTAGAAGACGACTGGTGAGAACGCACTGCAAACTAACAGGGCCGAGCATCGCTTACCTGTTTGATATGAGGCCAATAACGGATAACCCATCTGGCCCATGGAGGCAATATGATCTCGGCTGAAACGCCTGCATTTCATGTTCGGTAACAATACCCTTCTAATTCATTGAATGGCACTGCGGACAGTGGTAGTAAAACTGCAGATTTGTACCAAGGCCAATAGTCCAGACAGAGATACGAATGCACTCTGGACAGAAGCTGGCGAAGGGCGAATATGCCAGTATAGCTTACTGTACTCAACGAAAACAGCGGGAATGGTCCGACCACAAGCTGTACACAATTAGTTGTGAGATCCGCACAACGAAGCACTAGCTTACCTTGTCATCACTCCCAACAATTTTCCAAGAAAGATGAAGTCTCCACTCGTGCCCGATGACCGTGATGCCGAGATATGGGTATAACTTCTTCCTTGCCTCCGAACTCGCCAATACTAGCAGCAGCTCCAAGGCTGCCGCCGACCATACCCCAAGCTGCATGATCGCCTCGTCATAGTCGCCTCCGGGCTCTTTAACGTTGATGCCGCATCCCACGACAAGTGTACCAGTGTATGCATCGTCTATATGACTGAGGCGAACTCCTTCATGTTTCAGGTGGAGGTCATCCCACGGGCCTTTGATATCAGGATGAGAGGGATTGAAAGCAAGAGCCAAGTCAACTTTTCGGGCAAGCGGGAAGACATTATCAGGAAGCGTGGATAATAGATCTCTACAAACAGCCTGGCTTTGTCTGTTGGTCGGTTAATCACTCTGTCGCTGGCGCACACAATGCTCTCTCGGGACCACTTACACGCTGTTGATCTCCACCATGCCATTAAGCCACCCCACGCCTGAGAGCGTCAGCATGTGTCGTACCAGTTGCACCCATGCTTCTTTGTTCTTGTGGTAATTGTGGCAACGCTCGGCTTGCTTGTATATGCCGTGGACGTGGTTCCAAACCTGGCTTAACTCATCATTCCACACGGCTGCAGATTCGTCAAACATGTGAGGCTGGATGTTTTCGAAGCCATTTGGATCATGGATATGAAGAAGAGACTCAGAAATTAGCGAGGAACGTGCTTTGGGGCTGGTAAGAACGCACTTCAAAGGCGCGTGGAATAAAGTGCAGGCCAGAGCCCGCGCTCAGGGTTCGCCATATTGCGGAAACATGTTCCGGCGGAATAACTGAATTTCCAGGCTGGAGAAAACGGATCCGTGGGTTTGAGACCGCAAGGAGGGTGAAAAGCATGCGATTGCGATTTCGATTGCGAGTGGAGTAGGGATACACGTCTCTGGTTTTTCTGGATGATGTCGTACCACTGTCATTGCCGGCGTTTGCGTTTGCGTTTGCGTTTTCATTTTCGCTTTCATTTTCGCTTTCGCTTTCGCTTTTGCTTTCGTCCTCTGGGATACTCAAAGGTCCTTCAAACTCCATGTCGTCTGTAGCTCTGTGGTCGAACTCAAGTGGCATTCTTCTTGTCTCTCACTGCGGTTGTTGAGAAAGGTGAGATTATTTGTGGGAACTATCGACTGGTCTGACCATCTCGAGCCAGGAGCTACTTGAGTTAGCTTGATGGATTTGCAACATGACAAAGTGAAAGCTCTGTTGAAGATGCTAGATGCTAAGTCGAGTCCTGATTCAACACTGGAACATGGGAGGTCGTTCTTTCTCTGTGATGTACTTTCCACACCAAGGAAGGGGCAACTTACTTTGATCAGGGATTCCATCCTACCTTACTCCCTTCCTCCCTTTTGCATTACATATTCGGCAGTATAGCAATCGAATTCCGTCCAAGTGGCTTAGCAGATATCAGCTTGTAGATACTTGCTTGCTTATTGCACACTTGTAACGTGGCCTCAGTAACAGCGCAGAGTTTAGAGTCGAGAAAGTCCTACGAGAAGACGACTGACGTAAGGTGGGAGCCAAAGCAGCTGATTTAGTTAGTCACGGCGCTTTGCTTCATTCCAAGGAAACGGTCTGGCGACGGACTGGATGCACTTAATGCTAGGATGTCCAGGTCACGGTGGATCATGACATCTTGCACAGCAATCGCCCAACAGTCTTGCTTACGCGCTCTCACAAAGTGATCGGGGCTTGTTGCTTCGATGGGCGGCACCTGTGCCTCGCTTCCCGAATGCGATGAGTGCATTGTCCAACATCGCAATCCATCCATGTTCTTGATTCTAGAACCATTCGACTCGAACTGTTACAGGGATCTCATTCTCGGGGCGCGAATTGAAAGACCACGGGGCATCGAGTGGAGGCTTGGTGAAGCGTGGCTTGTTGTGTGTGGTTGCGATTGGCCATGATAGCCTTGCCAGAACTGCAGTGCCATCCATGCAGGAGATCAAAAACGGCTGCCATGGTAGGATCGCGGTCAATGCAGTTATTCTGAGCACATCTGCCCACAGATTGAAGGATGAACCCCTGCAGGAGATAGCCAGTCTCCAGGGCACCTGAATCGAGTGCCTTATCGTCAGTGCTCTGACAATGCCTGACTCTGACCTGCTCGATTGTCACAATGCAACACTCCACTGGAGCAGGCCAGGTTCAGCTTCCTCATGGCGTCTGTGGTCTCGGGCAGACATTTAGATCATTTTCAATCTTACGTTCTTAGGCTGTGGCTATCTCAAAACAGAAGGTCAGATCCTATGAGCGAAATACCAGAGATGCAAATCACTCTCAACTTCACATCATGGATCGTGCGCTTATAGACCACATTACCACAAGGTACAATGGGTCTGTATGTTGGATTTTGAACTTGCAACTTTGAATATTCCGTCTCTCAATCAAATGATAATTCCAGACTCTTTCAATCCAATATACAACACCATATTAAGACATGGACACACGACTTAGCATCATTGTCTTCAAAGGAGACCCTGTCGACCTTCGGAAAACGCGACATACTGCTCTTCTCATTGTCTTTTCCGACAACACCACAGTTCTTATCCATGATGTTGGCGCGGCAGGGATGTTTACAACCCATGAAAAGCCAAACGAGCAACCGGAAAAGAGCTTGGAATTTGCAAAGGCAATTCCTGTAGCGGGTTTGAAGGGAAAAACGAAATCCCAAATTCGATCTACCATCACTGCCACCCCTGTCAATAACAGCACACATGGTTGGGATTGTCAGGACTGGGTGGGTGATGCATTGACAAGGCTGAGCAACCTGGGCTGGATTACTAAGGAGCAGAAATCGAATGGCATTACGAAAATGGTAGACGCAATCTTCGAAGCAGAGGATGAAGATTAATCTTATCACTGCCCCTGGGCCCTGGCGACATCGCAGCCTTGCCTGTCACATGACCGAACCCCTTTATAACTCAGGTATACTGGGATTTATTGTGGTTGATCACTTTCTACAATACTACTGATTCCTAGTCGTTTATTCGCAAGCTCCATGCTCCAGCTACCATCGCAATGAAGGCACTGTGGCCCAACATCGTGTTTGTTGCATTGAACAAATGTCATTCTGAGCTTTTGCTAGCGAACAGCACTGCTCACGCGGGGTAAAGGCCTGCATAAGTGTGCGACCTGTACATGTGGGACTAGTGTGTGACTGTATTCAAAAGTGGCATTGGATGGTGATGGTGTGAAGGAACTAGTTAGATGGTTCAAGAGCGAGATATAGGACCCAGCGAGCTTTTGAGAGAACTACTGGTGCTATTGCGGCCCAAAGATACAAGATAGAAACCATGGCTCTTTGGGACAACCAAGCAGGGATGACCAGCCCATCGGATCCAATCCAATCCTCATCCCCGTACTTAGATGAAGGTTGAGGGAAAGTCGGGGCCTAAGTAGCGTATATGCATATGGTCTGATAGCAACGGAAATTGTTCAGACATGGCCCGATGATCTTGCATTAGTGTGTGAGATGGGAGAATCCAGGTGAATAGCAGCCCAGAGGTGCCTGAAACGATCATAGGGTGTCTTCTGGATCCTGGCATCGAAGAGGGGTCGCAAGGGCTCGAGGGCCGAGGGCTGGTGCCATTGGCGCCCCTCGGCCTCTGACTTTTGGTTGGAGAGGCGGGAAGGCTTGAAGCCATGGTGGGTCCGTGGGATGGAGGATTCCGTCATTGCCATTCAGGCTTTCCATACCTACAGTATGTACCTAATTCTTCAGTGTCGATCTTGTTGCGACTAACATTATAAAGCTCGCGTACGGGCGAACGATCGGGCGAGCTCACGGCAAAAGAACAGGCGCAAAGTCGCCTAATGAAAACCCTTTGATGTGAGCTCTCGATCCCACCTCCACCATAGACCTTAAGTAGACGAAACATCCACAAAGCATCAAATGATGGCTGAAGACTCAGACTACCGACATTTTCCCACTCCCCCAACCATTCCGATTTCCAAATTTATCGTCACTATTCCTGAGAAAGACCTGCGATCTCTCAAAGACCAACTTCGGACCTCGAAACTCGGTCCCAGAACTTACGAGAACACAGGAGCCGATGGCAAATATGGGGTTACTTACGAATGGATGTCGCAAGCAAAGGATTATTGGGAATCGACCTTTGACTGGTATGTCGACTGAAATGATAAGGGCTGGTTAAAGTTAACAGGGTCGGCTGACTTGTGTTCGACAAGGCGAGGTGTTGAATCCACCATCAACAGTATTCCCAATTTTATGGCCGATATCTCTATCCCCATTGCGAGTACCAGTCAGGACAACTCCTTCCAAATCCATTTCGCCGCGCTCTTCTCTCAGAGAAAAGACGCCATTCCCCTGATGTGTATCCATGGATGGCCTGGTAAGTCGTGAATCTTTCCCCTCTTTCCTGATCGACCCCGTCCAGCAACCCCCTGTGATATGTTGACATTTAACTCTGTTTTTCAGGTAGTTTCCTCGAATTTCTGGGAATTCTCTCCGCTCTTCAGAATAAATACAGCCCAGTTGATCTTCCATATCACATCATCGTCCCATCTCTCCCAGGATATGCATTCTCCGGTACCCCTCCCCTGGACCGAGACTGGAGACTTGAGGATTCTGCCAATCTTCTCCATAAGCTCATGTGTGGTCTGGGGTTTGAAGCAGGTTATGCACTACAAGGTGGCGATATCGGAAGTTATACGGCCCGGATCATGGCTGGCACTTTCAATTCCTGCAAAGGTTTGTGGATGATCTCTCCATTGAGCTCAACCGGAAAAATGCTAACGAGGATTCAGCGCTTCATCGTGAGAATCTGTCCTTGAGCATGTCTCGATTTGAAGCTAGCGATACTGACGAGAGACATAGTTAACTTTTGTCCCATACCTTGTCCAGACGAGAAGGTTCACGGCAGATTGCCAATTCAAGAATGGGAGAAACGAGGTCTAGAACGAGCTGATGATTTTGTCAAATATGGAACGGCATACGCGGTCGAACAGTCGACGAGAGCCTCTACAATCGGATTCGTATTGTCATCGAGCCCTGTTGCCCTGTTGGCATGGTATGGCGGTTCCCCCTGACACCATCGACCCCAATTCTAATTCACCTATTATTGTAATGCAGGATTGGCGAAAAATTCCTAGCCTGGACTGACGAGACTCCTTCTCTTGATCAGATCCTCGAATCTGTAACACTCTACTGGTTGACAGAGACCATTCCACGGGCCATGTATCCCTACCGACAGGTATGTTTCTCCCAGAAAGTTATCCTCTTACCTCCTCATCGATACACATCTGACTTGCATCCAGGAGACTGTCTACCCCCCTCGTCAAGCAAGAACCGAAGACGATTATCGTAAAGTGGTATCTCAAGGTGCCCAACGATACATGCCTCACAACGACCCAAAATATCACTGCCGTCAACCTCTGGGCTATTCATGGTTTCCAAAGGAAATTGTGCCGATTCCACAGAGTTGGGCGTCTACGACGGGGAATTTGGTTTGGTCTAACAAGCACACTAAGGTGAGTCTTACTGTTCACTCGATGTAAATTGCATCCAAGGACTAACTCTAGGGAAATGACGCAGGGAGGTCACTTTGCCGCTATGGAACAGCCGCAAGAATTACTGGCTGATATTGAGGATTTTTTGACACAAGTGTGGCTTACTGGGAAATGAGCTTTCTTTCCTTGGACATGTTCGTACGCTGTATGACTTTTGGAATAGTTAGGGGGATGAATGAGAGATCGATGTCGGGCCATGTCTCGCCGATATTAAACAATCGCTGAGTGACCCAACAAAGTCTCAGGTACACACCCACCAGACTGAACCTGTTGTCCTCGTCAGTGGATTAAATTTCCATATTCAGTCACGTTGTGATAAAGGGTGGACACTGTCAATCAGTCAAGACCAGGGCAAGGATTGATTACTGTTTCCATCATTCGCAACCAAGGGTATCTATCTCCACCAACTACCCGAGCAAGCTAGAGCCAATAGTAATACCAACAATACTAAGAATATAAGGATGACACAAAGTCAGGATCTACCTAGTAACAGCACATCATGAAAATAAACAACAGCCGTCTCAACCCTACCGGAGACGGACCTGAAAGACCTCGATTAGGTCAAAAGGAACTCCCGCCATTGAAACATGCCTGTATCCCGAGAACATAGTGCGTCGCCGATTTTGGGATGGTCCCAGGGTGCAGTGTCTGGCGACCAGAAACTTTGGAGTACGGCAACAAGGATTAGATCCCAGGAGCCGAACCCCTACGTCGTACGACTCTTTGCGAGTGATATATCGACCGCTGTGCGTAGAAAGGTCTGGATCCGTCGGTAAGAGGTTCGCGCGACCGACTGAACAAGGTTGGAACAAGGCTCAGAATCCTAGGCTTCTTCCTCCACTGTTGGCTGGTGGGTGGGTGGATGAGACGCGGCAGTTTTGGGCTTAACGGTGAGCTTGGGAACTGCAAGGTGTTAGTGAAATGTTACCATCTTCATCTCTTCACATATTCCAACGGGGAAGATTGGACTTACTGCTCAACCCATAGCCCTGTGTCTGACCCGTTTTATCAGAGTTGTCAATTTCGACCCTGATTGAGACATTCAGACCTCCAGGCAGCGGGCCTTCACTGGTGATACCACTAGCAGCTGGATGCTTGGTACCGGCACCCTCCTCACCGATATGAAGAGGGCTGTGTCCATCAAGGCCTTTGCTTCTGGGCTTAGGTCTCTCCTTGCCTTCTTCACCTGTCGATGGAACAGCAGCCTCGGTGCCGTTGACGCCATTGGTCACACCCACGCCAGACGAGTCTGGAGTAGGTGTATCGGGGATTTCGGTGATACAGGCATAGTTTCGACTGGGCATAGTGACGTAATTGGAGTCTGAGCTTTTCATTTTGCCACCAGGTTGCTCGTTGAACATATCGAGGAGTGTCTCATCGGTATTGCCATCTTTGAGATGGTGGATTTTGTTACGGCGTGCAAGTAAGTTGGCGACTGCTTTTGGAGGGGGTTTGTTGGTGATAGCAGATGAGACAATGTTGGGCATGTATCGTGGATCCTCGAGAGGGTCCATGTTGTTTGCGGGTGCAGAATAAAATCGACCCAGTGCGGCCAAATGTACATCGCCGCCCAGGATGGTGACGCGGATGGAAAACTCTTCTGAAAGCTTTTGAAGTCTGACGACTAAGTCTCGTCGTTCGTCCTTGTGATGTTTGGCGGTATAATGATCGTCAAGGTCGTCGAGCAAATCAACGGAGCCGTCGAATTGATTGAAGAGGCCGCCAGCAAAGCCAAACCGCTTGTTCAGAAGGCGAATCGGAGCTATAATGGGCGAGGACAAGATGTTCTCAAGCCATGCCAAGCGAGGATATGCAATGGGAACACCGAGCAGGAGGATGAGATGCTTGATATCCCCGTTTGCCGCTTGAAATTCCTTTTTGAGTCTCTCGAAGATGAGATCATAGGTCTCAGGATAATTGACCTGCTTCCTGGTCCGCTCCGTTCTTGCGTCAATGCCACAAAATGCGATGCGTTTGCCGAGACGCATATAGAGGTTTCTCGATCTCTCTTCAACGTAGGGGCCTGGTTTGTTGCCGACAATCCAGCTGGGATCGTCGGCTGTCCTTTTATATACGTAGGTATCCTTGAGTTGCCGAGGATCGGCACCAGCGGTACCATTCGCGTCTGCGGACATGGTGGAGGGTGCGTCAGTAGTGAAGGTGGACAGGGGGGGCGCGGTGTGATGCTGGAAGAGGCAATAGTATTTGAAACTAACACCTCCGATGCCTCTGAAGACAGCGCATCTCATGAAATGGTCAGTGTAGGAGCCGAAGCCGTCGATGATGTCATGGTCGTCCCAGATATTAATCTGAGGGATCTGGGAATTGGCTGCGGCGAAGGGCTCGGTACTATACCATTCAACATAGTTTTGAAAGTAATAGTCATCACATCTTCTCCTCAAGTCATTATCGAAAGGGAAATGTGCTCTTTTCCGCGGGTTTTGAATGTCGGTCCACTCTTTCAAAGGGCCTTTGACTCGAATGCTGTCATTGTAGATCTGATCTCCTCCACCGATCATGACATGAAAGGGTTTCTGCTTGTGGGTACGGAGGACGTCGTTCCACAGGGCAGGACCCGACCAGAAGTCCTCGTCGGTGCCGACGGAGAAACCATTGCAAGAGTGAAACATGATTCTGAAGGACTCGGTGGCGGCTGGAACGAAGAACTCCCTCGTAGGTTCTTTGCTCACGTCTGAGAGGAATCGAATCTTGGGAATTGAATATTGCCATCTCACTTCGGCCTCTGCCAAAGGAAGCTTTATGGAGAAGCGCCAGAATGCTTTCTGTGGATCCGAGTATAGTTTTAGACCGTCTATTTTCTGCGGAGGACTCTCTTTTGTCTGCGTTGTGCCGTCCGACGTGCCCAACGATTTCAATTCGATATAAGGATGTGCCTGGCCAGGCTTTGTGACCAGTAAGACGGAGCCATGCCAGAAGATATCAGAGCCTTCTTCAGACAGACGTTGGTAGTTGAGGAGAGGACCGCAAAGAACTTCGAGCTCGGAGCTGGTGCTGACGATACCTGGACCTTTTCCATGATATTCTTCGCCATTGGTGACGTGTTGGTACTCTGTGGGCAAGGAGGCGCCATCGAGTTGTCCCGTTTCTGCATAACACTGTCAATGGATTTCAGGGTGCGAAAGGGTCAACCAGAACCAGTACCTGCCATTATTGGTCGTGTTTTCCGCGCCTGATCTTTAAGGCGTCAACAAAGCACGGTGATCGTTGACGTTAGTAATTAGAGTCGTGCAAGCGCAAGCCTGTGTCCAAAGCTTCCACTAATCAGCAGACTCAGATAACTGGTAAGGAGCTCTTGAGACGAAAGGAGGGAGTCCAAGGCGTGGCGTGGCGTGGCGCGGTGCGATTGGAGACACACGAGAAGCGCAGCACCTGTCGGAGGATTCGAGATTCCTCAAAAAGGAGCGACGGTTATGAGACAACAACGAGGTAGGCAATGTAGGGGAGGTTCAGCGGAGCATGAGGATAAGGAGAGATCGATCAGCAGGATGACGCTCCATTATTCACGGGTCAATGTGTTGACAAGACGATCGAAACAAGGCCTAGGGAGCCAGATCATGCCAGGCTTAATTACCTGCTGTACTCCTGCCATTCCAAGCGGGATGACGACAACAAGCCACGCCAAGCAGCGCCAATGCCTCGCCCCTCCGGTAAGCATCCATGACATGAGCAAATGGGAATCAGACGGTAATTGCAAGCTTCGAGATTGGCTCACTGGCAATTCTGAGTTGGAGAGGCGCCTTGGACAACATCACTTTACGTATATAAGTCGATCAGTCTTTTTTGTCGTAGCTGAGACCAAACTTTTGGCATTGCATCTGCAGCCCTGAATAATAAACACAGGCGAATGGGAAATACTAACGTGCACTTATCTTTTGTGTGAACATACAATTCTACCATGAAAGCTGAACAGTTCAGGTTCATGATTTTATCGCCCTGAGCCGAATACAAACATCTCAAGCTCTACCCGCGCCTCGTGGCTCAGCTCAAGTATAATTAATCACTTTCTCTAGACTCCATGCTCCCTCCCGCATTATAAAACCATCATTCGCTATTCTTTGTCATCCTTGGGCTGCGGATCGCCAATACCATGTTCGTAAATGGCAAACAACGTATCGCTCTCTGGGAGACACGGGCTGTCGTAGATTTTGCAGATTCTGGTCTCTCCACGCCCCTTCTTCAGACTGAGTCTTGTGGTACTGGCGTGTGCAATTATATTGCCGCCAATCGGTTTTTTAGGGTCGGGGTTATACATGGCGCTGGGACCGCCGTCGACTTGTGCAACCACTTGGTTCGTGATGACGACAGCAATTCCAAACTCATCAGCCAGTCGCTGCAATGTTCTGAGGAACCTTGCCATGTGGGATTGCCGAGATGACAACTCTCCTCGTCCATTGTAGTCTGTCCGATATAGAGAAGTGGCCGAGTCCACAATCAAAAGTGAAAATCGTGTCTCACACATCATTTGCGCTGCCTGTTGAAGCAGCTGCAGTTGATGTTCTGAGTTGTATGCGCGGGCGTAGGCAACATTGTCGAGCACCTCTTGACCCTCGAGCCCATATCGGTTGGCCACTGATAGCAGACGCACTGGACGGAATGTACCTTCTGTGTCGATATACAGGCACTTTCCTTCTCCCCCGCCCATGTCGAACGGTAGTTGGCATGTTACCGCCAATGTGTGACAAATCTGACTCTTGCCCGTTCTGAACTCTCCGAATATTTCTGTGATAGAGCCGGTTTCTATCCCGCCCCCCAGAAGTCGGTCGAGGTTCTTGGAGCCTGTGCTGATTGAGATCAAGTCGCTTCGACGGGCGTGCATTTCGGTCGCGGTGGTGAATCCCATGGGCACCAGCTTCATAGCTAAGAGAAGTCAGCATGCATCGACGAATGCCTCATTCTTCGACATCACCGTACCTTCGTTCAACAGTTTGGTGGCTTTAGCTTCGGAGATGCCCTTGATCTGCTCAAGCAACCTCCGTGGCCTATCTCGAGGATTAGCTTCGGGTCAGGCAAAGTCATCTGGCGCTCTGACGTGTAGGCAATTGACTCCACAGTGTGATAACCTCCTTCCACTACTAGTTTTATATCTCGATCTGTAAGACCTGCGATGCCCTAGTCAATTAGCGTAGGCTCTTCCTCTATGATCACAAAACTTACCACAAGTTGAGATACAGGTATTGGTGCTCCTGGACCACCAGGCATGTCCTCATATTCATCTTGTGGAGCGGCATCGGGCACCTCTGTCTCAGTCATGGTCGTGTTGTTGCGGGGTCTCTGGAGCGCAGCAAGAACACCCTTCTCCACAGGCGAGTGCTCACCAGTAAAGGGTGGACGAGGATTTAGTGGAGGATCAAATAACAATGCCGACCGGAAATCTTGAAGGCGATGATGGGTCAAGTGTCAGTATTCTGTTCAAGGCCAATGACTCGCAGCTGCAGAGGATAATTGATCGACAGACTAGACGAGGTGGGTGGCGAGCCAGATGTGTTGAAGCGCGTCTGGAAGCGCGTCCTGAACGCGAATGTTGCCTGGGAAGGAACGCGCGATCACGTGATGTCAAGGGAGACTTTCTGGATCGCCAAGCACGAAACGACCTCAACATCACAAGTCGAAACATACGGAGTATGCGTACAATAGTCATGCATTATCAATGTGCTATAAGAGCATTCCATCCTGGCTAATCCTTCTTTTCAGAGGCTAATCACACGCAGATCCAATCGAAATAGTGGTACACAGTCCAAGCCCAGCCCGATATTCTCTCAGTCCCACCTCAGTTGCTCATACTACGATCACTGATCAGTAGTAAACCTTTGGATGAATTGACGCCATGGCCAGCCACTTCATTCATCGCTGCATGATATGTTTTGGTGGCCCTCCCTTTTACATTCCGTCATTGCGAGCCGGCCCATGGACCAAAAAATATTCGACTTTCAAACCCTCGGTTGCCCGTTGATGACCAATTGCGTGTAAAAAGTTCAGTCTATCACCTTCACAACATAACTTCTAAAGTTCTGGTCCTCCAGAAGCCTCTCCATGTCCGCTTCAGTCATTTGAATAACCACCTCCAGATAATCCTTTCTCGCGTCGAAAGGAAGAACAATGCAAGATCCTGGATCCCGAGACCACGGTTTGCGCACCCAGTCGGGCTGACCGAGCTCCAGGCCCAAGGTAGATTCATATCCTTCCAGCTTCTCCCAACTTGTGATATACATATCGGCTCCATTTGACCGGTCCATGTTGCTGGCTTGCAAATCTCTCACATCGCAGTTTACATCGGCGAACATGGACACAGTGATTGCTTGGCGGATGTACGGCTCATCCACGTTGTTGATGGCACGCCGTATCTCTTTGGCGGCCTTGACCAATGTGCTGATATCATCTCGTGAAATTTCGTCGAGTGGCATCTGCGCACTGGCAAAGTCTATGGCGGCGCCGAAATAATGGTCTGGCAGACGATTTCTGAGTCTGTTACGAATGTTGGTGGGTATCAACAATTTAGAAGTTGTCACTGTTGTCGAACTAGCAAGGGATGGTATCCTCGCTTTCATCATGCTATGCCACAACAACGCCTGCAGAACGTCATTGGAAGTCATAAAGGTCGAGTGTTCGTGGTCTTCGAGCATGGTCTTGAGTCTGTCGAGTTCGCGGAGAGAAAACGCCACGACACAACCACGCCCCTTCACCGGCGGTTTGACTTCAGGAGCACCTGAATTCAAGATTCGACACCTGAGCTGTCGGCTGCTTATCTGATTATGGTTGCTCCAAGACAGTTCCTTTCTTACCACACTCTTGTAGTTGGCAAACGTTGCGAGACGCATTGACAGCGAAGGACTGTCCTGTCCGTTGGTGTCAAGATATCGCACGAACCTGAAATCATCCTTGAGCACACTTCCAGAGAGCAACAGGCTGATGCCGGTGCCATCAGATATGCAATGATGGAGGTAAAAACTGACTATGACTCCACCTTGCACAAAGTTTGCTTGGACTCGAAAGACGGGGGCGCGGTCATCGTCGGCAGATTCTGTCAATGCTGAGACGAGATCAGGTTTGATGACACTAGGTGGTAAGTGCATGCTGTCAAGTTGATCATAAGTGTATGGGACTTCATCCCACGTCAGATGGCGGACACTGACGCCGGTGTAGTCTAGGTAATCCTGCTCAGAGAAACGTATTTCGACTGCGCCGACCCGCGAATCCGAGTTCCCAGCCGCCACCACATGACCGGCCAAATAAGGCTTTGCATCGACGGTCTTCCTGATAAAGTTGTTTAGCCGCTGCACAACGTCCGAGTATGGTGTTGTATCAGGCATGCGATATGATAGGCATATCCTGATGTACGCTCGGGGCATGCATTGTTCGATGCTTGACAATTGAATTACGTGCTCGAGATTGACGGAGTCGCCGTCTGCAAAAGGGTGACCTGGTGAATCCAGAGACTCGGACGTAGAATCGACGCAGTCGGTCTCTGAACCATTAGGGAAGAGGGCTGCAACTGAGTCATGCGAGGATACGGTTGAGGGTCGTGCGCTGAGGGGACTTTCCGACATTTCAGACTCGCTGGGCAGATGGGGAGCAGCGTTATGGTCTTCAATGGTCCCGTTAACTTGAGGCCGATCAGCCATGAGGAAAGGTTGCCGGATCGGAGATGAAGATTACCGAGAGTTGACCTGATTGCCGAGACAAGGTCAGATGGTGGCGACAAGGGTTTATTCTTGTCTATAGATTCAGGCCAAGATGGTGTTGAATCATACTGACGGAGTAGGAGCATATTGAGGAGGCTTTCTCATGCGACAACAGGCCAGCCTAAGGGAGGCGAGGCGAGGCGAGGAGGCGGTGCCCTGTTGGTTTTTGGTGGAACTGGGGCGAGGCTTGCCAGGTATCAGCAGCACTCGTCTTTTTCTTGGTTGGACTTGACTGAATACGCGGCGGATCTCGAGGAACTCAACGCCATGTCACCCCGGGCCAAGCATCAGATTTGATACAAATTACCAGGACAAGTCGCAAGGGGGAAGCGTGGAATCAGCAATGTGTCGGCAACGCCAACAAAGAGTTGGGTGGTGATTTCAGGAGAGGCAAGCCAATCAAACAGGAGCAGGCTGGTTAAAGAGCCAACGAACAAGAGATGCGGGCCGTCAAAGACGTGGTCGAGATGCCCAGGCAGAGAAGTAGGTAGTCGAGGAATCAGGCTACCGTGGATAGAGGACTAAATAGACGAAATGTAAGAGCAAGTGAGAACATGCGGATGATACGATGGACGCAGAGGAGGAGAGTCGGTTGCCTCTTGGTGGATAGGACGTCGGTGGGGTTCGGAGAAGGTATTGGCATGGTGTGCAACGAATGTCGAGTGTAGATATCCCTACGCGCCTCAAGATGCAGACCCATGTGGATGACTATCGACTATGTGTTTAGCGTTGCCGGATTTAGAGAGGTGCGTATGGTCAGGAAAGTAAAAAAGCCCCAGGCGAGGAGATGCAGACAAAGGCCATGGCCAAGGCAGCGGAGTGATCTTGTCGGCGATGATCTGCTGCCAGCACGGCAAGCAGGGTTGTATCATGTATGTACGAAGAAGTATCGTGAGGATACAGGGCCTGCAAGGCGAGAATGGTCAGCGATCACGACCGCTAGAGGTTGCTCTGTGTCACCTCGCCATGCTGCCGAAACGGAAGCGGTCAGCCTCGCTTTTTGAGCAGGCCCACCTCTTTCGGCTCGGGTGTGGCACTAATTGGATCCCTGTTCTGTAGATAACCAGTCGGCGGTCGTGTGCTGGGGAGTGCGTGGAGAGGTGCTTGGGGCTGCGGGCAGGGCAATGTGACGACAGATCTGAATTGTCTCCAGACGCGGCGTGGGCGGGTCGAGTCTTGATTCTTGTCCAACTCCCAGGGTTGTGCGTGTATCGAGGTGGCCCAAAAGGTTCACGGGCGCTGAGAGCCGTCCTTTGGCCTAGAATGGATAGTGCCGGAGACGATTTAAGAGATTCAGGAACGAGACACTGACATGAGGCAGCTTGGGTCAGCTGAGCATGCGAGGCAGCGGAAGGGCAAGATTTGGCGTTGCAGGGCGGTAGGGACGGAAGGTATGGACTATGGAGTGGGTTAGTGGGTGAGTGGGTAGGGCACGGTAGGGGCAGACGCTGCAGGGCCATGACAACTTACAAGTCATGGAAGTGACAGAGAAGAGCCTTCTCTCCAATGAACCAGGGTGCAAGCCATAAGCGAACTGCTCAACATCGTGCGCTACGGTACGCATACTGCGACATGCATGGTGGAGAGGTAGTCGAGGGTCCCGTGGGATAGTATGCGTTTGCCGGGAGCAGGGTCGGCAGGACATGACCGTATCAGGCGTAAGATGATGTGGGCATTCGCGGCATGAAGGCAGATAAAGGCTTGCTTGTCGGGGCTAGTGTCTTGAGTTGAAATGAAAAGAATTTTGTGAAAGTTGAGGGTGAAGTGTGCTTGTGGAGATGGGGATAGCGATGCGAGCTTCGCAATCACAAGTGGTCCCCCAGCAAACCTGCTATGAGTCTGTCATGGTTTGTGATTAATTACCTCAGAGGCTTCAGCACCACATCGGAGCCAGGCAGACAGGCAGATAGGCAACAAGGTCCATCAAATGATATTGGTTGGATGCATCAAATTTGCTCCATTCAGGGAGGTGGAGAGTGATGAAGGATCTTGGGCCGTCTTGATTGCCATGCACTCCATGGCAATCCATGCGTCCTTGGGCCTTTGGTCTACGAATATGTATGGCCAGGCGTGCTGGGGAGGCTCCTCGGCCCTGGGCGCAGTGGACCGAGGGGACCATGGAGGGCACGGCGGGGCATCTGATGATCCTCTACAGGTAAATCGACTACCCATTGTCCCACGTCTCGGTGGCACCATGCGTGGTCTTGGGGCCCTGAGATATAGTAAGTCTTGAATTAAGGGCAGCTTAAGTACTGTATGTGCTGCGTATGTGTACGCATATGCGCAGGCATATTGTACTGCAAGTGTATGCGTACAGTGGGTGTCTTGTAGGCCTATTCATCCCTCTCACGCATACCTACGGAGTACGAGTGCACAGACTTTCGGCTGGACGGAGACTCAACTGCCCACGAGCCCAACTAACGAGAGTTTGAGGGAGCGGCCGGGCGCCGTGGGCCGAGGGGCCGTGGCGCTGCCACAATTGGTAATGTCATCTGCGGAATCACATTTCCGTCAGCTGGGGGAGCGCTGCCTCTCATTCCATGTGCAAGCGGTGGCGTATGTATGCGTATGCGTATGCGTATGTTGTTTCCAGCGTGCCGTACTTGAGTGTGGCCTATCGATTGGGAGACCAGCTGGATCCATGATGAAGGATGTTGAAAAAAGAAGAAAAGAGTACGGAGATGACTGAAATGAACTCGTGAACCGCAGAGACTTTGTCAATATAAACTAGGGGTCCCCTGCGAATGCCACCCAGGATCAGCTGGTGGGCCAAATATGGGGTGGCTTCACACGCAAGGCAACGGGGAGCCGACATCCCCGGACGTCACCCAGTTCCGCGCCCGTGGACCTAACTGGATGTGTAATTTGGGGCTTGGTGGACCAGGGCCAGAGAGGCTCAAGCCTCAGGGTCGCCCCAGGCCAGGGAATGGATCGATGGCTCCTCGACTTTTGATTGATCACGACGAAGCATGACTTGCACTGCGTCCTTGGAGTCGAGGGGCCGAGGGGCGAGGGGCCATGCTGGCATGCCATGGTCCAAAGGCCAATGCTTTCTTTGTATCGTTCCTGATCCTCTCTCGCAGTCGATGTTTGATTGATTATACAGCACGCACCATGCATCATGGCAGCTGCACAAGTGCGAATTTGGGTGCCGGCGATATGTGTGGTGTTAGGTATGCATCCATGGCCGTGAGGTCCCTGTTTTGTAATTCTTGACCTAAATTCTGAGAGGCCTCCTGCGAGTAGATCCCGAGGCGTCCAGGGAACGCTTGGTGCTGCAAGCTTAGGTAGGCATAGGTAGTAATTATGACTGAGTTAAAAGTTACAGTACAAGTCCAGACGATCTCCAGTGCAGTAGTCCCCCAGTCCCCAGGTCCTTTGTTTTAGGCTTTGAGCCAGCTAAAACGTCCCTCGGCGCAGCAGCTTAGTTCTTACCTATCGAACTGGCGTGCCCCTTTGTGCCCATCTCCAGCACGCTAACCCAAGACATGCATATTGCGTAGAGAGATGCCATTTATATTACTAAAAGTACAACGGACAGGACGGACAGGACGGACAGGCTGTTGTCTGCAGGTCGAGACATCACTGTTGGAATTTCGCCACTCGGTAAAAGACGTGGAAATCAGAAAACATTGACTTAATTGCGACCTATTTCGTACCGACTGCAACATGGCTTCAGACTCTCGTGCCCAAATTGAGGCCCAAAAATGCCAACCGCTGCATGCATGCCCAAGCCCACTGCACCTGAAAGACGTTACTTACTTACCCTGGTGCCCATGTATGCGTACAATGCCTGGTTCCAACAACTCGACATTATGCCGTCGAGACGGTGAGTCGAAATCTTGACTAGGCCACCGTGCCATCACAACACATATGTGACGAGATTTCTTCAATACCAATTCTCATCTGACCGCTCATCTACCAAGTTTCTTCGACGAGAGCCAGAGGTTCTAGACGTTTGGAATACGATGATCGTCGCCGAATCGTGTGGCGTGGGATCGGCGCCGAGGCGTCCCCCACTATGGACACGACACCCGACACCCGACATTGGGGCTGCCCAACAGGCGGCCAACAACATCAGCAAGTAAGATGTGTCAAAACCCAAAAGAGATGCTGTCAATGCACAGATCGACACTTTGGCAGCAGCAGGCAAACCAATATGTCCATTTGTGCCATCTCGGAGACCAACGATATGACCATGACGATGATGGCGGTTGAGCTTGGAGGCAGGGGTATCAGAGTGAGCATGGGTTTCACTGCTTCAAGATTGAGTCCACCAATACAGAGAAAAGCATCATTGAGATACACAATTGTCTATCAAAGAATGAATGAACACATTTTAAACTCAAGTAGGAGTGGATTTCCCGTTGACCCGCCGGACGGTTCACGCTTCCTCCCTTAACATTAAATTGCGTGCGCCGAGATGGAGCCAAACGACTTTGGGCGATGCCCACTCTGCCTCTGCTCAGTATCCACTGCATGATCTGACACTGACACTGACACTGACACTGATTGATGATTGACATCCCACGAGACCCACGGGCGACACGCCTAGGCTACGGGCCCCGGCACTGTCCGCGTTCTCCATCCTCCGTAAGCTACAAGGGCTTCCTTGCTGCTCTTGAAATTGGGCCGAGAGGCCCGAGGGCCCAGGGGCAGCCAGAGCTAGAGGGGTACTTCCCCGCCATAATCTGATTGACGGATTAAGCGCGGCTCTATTATTATTACTTCAAAAATTGAGTGTTGAACTCAATTAATTGCAAAATAATGCGATCGGGTGCCTTGTTCCCTGAACCAATCATGGTCCATTAATATTACCCAGTTTACTCGACTTAGCAGAACCGTGGATGTGGACGCATATACGAAAACGCATACTGACGCGTATGCAGTCACTCAGGGTTGGTTACTCGTAAGGCAGCCTGTACTGGAAGACATCGAATTGTCCTACTTCGCTTCGCTCAGTAAGTTCTACATTGGGTTTGGTGTCCTACTGTAGGGAAAAATGTCTTTCGGAAAAACTTCTACGTAATATGATTGGCTGAAAGCGAATCTTGGCGCGAAATGATTGGATATGCGCGAGTTACGATCCCGTGACTGAGTTTTCGGAATATTCTCCTCGAGTTTTTCCGAATAATCTTGGAGTACCACGTGAGTGCCTTAGAGAGGGTACCCTAGAGAGGTCCCCTAGAGAGAGTGCCCTAGAGAGAGTGCCCTGGAGAGAGTGCCCTGGAGAGAGTGCCC